CCGCTGGCAGAATCTAGTTTTATTACCTATAGATGGTTAGGCGTTTTATAATTTTCCTTTGAATATGCAGAGATGCCTGCAAGGCACCACAATGAAAGGATCAGGCGTATAATAAAAGCCCCATTAATTAGCGTCACAGCATGGCAATATAAAACCTAATATCCAGCACAGCAGCTAATATAAGCTAAGCTGGTTACCCGCACAGCATGAAACTTTTATTTATTACTTAACATTCCCCCTCTGTAGGTACAAGGTTTAGATGTTATGTTGGAAGAAAACAAAACAGTGTATTATTCTTTGTTTTTACGAAAGTAAACAAATTATATTGTAGTCCTCTATCTGTATATGTAACTAGAGATATTAATCGGTCTCTATAAGCTGTATCTTGGACAGTTTTCCCATATGTTGCAATAATTTTAATTAGTAGAACCGAGTCAAAATGAGCCAATTCTGACATATTGACTGTCTAAATCTAGAATCAGACTAATAGAACAACTGACTGATTTCGTTTATCAATATTATAAACTAAAATTGCATCTTCATCATAGCCCCAAGCAAAGTGGTCTACAGCCCTCTCATTATAGGCCCTACAGCGAATGTAAATTGTAATAATGTGCCCTGTCTAGACGTGCCCTTTCACCGCACGCACTCATACATATAATTAGCAGTTACACAAACAAATGCCGATCACACGTCATATTGTGGAAATCGCAGCCGATACTTCATTATGCATTTTCTACAGAGCTTTAATTTGAGCACCCTTGTTTATTCTAACATATATATATATCTGTATATGAATATCGCTTTAAGGTAACCAAAGTTTTAATATAAAAACTTTCATGGTATTTTGGCTCATTCCTCATTATCATTATAAATTTGGTAGCTTTATTCTACTAATAATATAAACTCGTTATATTGTGTTTAATTACTAAGTAAATAAGTACTATTCTGTCTATTTTCTTACTTATTCCTTACGCGTAATAAACTAAAGAGCGTAATAAACTAAGAACAAAAAAGTATACATTCCAGCTAGAACCAGAAACTGGGTACAGCATACCTTATACCTTTGTTCTTTATCTCAACTTTAAGCAGACGAAATGTACATTCGCTAGAATTTAATTGAACTATAGAATCACTGATTCACGTTACTTGTCACTTAACTAGTACCTAGTGAATTGAAATTTTTACGATTTCAAGGTCCAAAAGACTAGACAGTACATTTGCTATGTGTACAATATTTGATGTAGCATTACGAAAGTCTAGACGCGGGGGCGGCGCGGCGGAAAGGTGTCGTCTCTTGGGCAGGCTGAGGGCGAAGCGACCCTAGCCACCTCTTCGCTGAATTAGGTCACAGCTATACACGTTGATAGGTGTGTTCCAGACAAATTTTATGTCTGGTTGGTTATGAATATATTTTAGGCTTTATTACATTACAGCCTACGAAGATGTCTAAACTTTTTTTGCAAAGTTTAACGTTTAACGATGATAAAAAGCTCTCTAAAAATGTATCTGAATGTATAAAAATCCAGTGACGCAATCTTGTAGCTCTGAGCCTCAGATATCTGTATTTGTTTCGTAATCATTTGTTTTCTTTTCTAATTGGCAAGTAGGTGATCAGCATTCTGTGCCGTAGACTTTTTGCGTCTCAGGCATTCTGGTTTCCTTAAATGTTTTCATTTAGAGTAGGAGCGAGTGTTAAATGAGCACGTAGACAAAAAGTCCATTGGTGCAAAGCTGAGCATCTAACCTATGATCTCAGAGATCGGAGTCACACGCTGAAACCACAAGGCCAACACTGCTGTCTTTTAAACATGAAGTAATTTTTAATGACGTGACGTGAGTAAAACATGTAAAACATTAATTCAGTAATATATAATATAACTGTCAATTGCTACTTGTTGAAATAATTAAAAAAGCATAAAAATATTCGAAATAACCTCCCTCATTTTTAATACAGGCCCTTAAGCGTCGCGGCCAGTCGTCTATCGCAGCACGCACCATATTCGTGTCCATTTCAGTCACTGGTTTTTTTAAAGATGACTTCAGATTCTCCAAATTTTCATGAGGTTTATCACAGACCTTCCTCTCTAAGCCCTGTCATAATTTCTGGTCCAAAGTATTAAGGTCCGGACTGGAGGAAGGCCAATCCTCATGTCTAATTAAGACGATGTTTTGACGCTCAAACCAGGCTTTAGTGGTCTTGGCTTTGTATGCAGACGCAGAGTCCTGCTGGAACACGAAGTGATGTCCCGCAAATAGGGTGCTGGACATGTCTTTGACAAGGCGATACAAAACCGTCTCTTGGTAATGTAGAGGTTTTGACCCCCTTTTCGAAAAAATTAACCTCAGTTAGCCCGTAATAGGACACTCCCAACCAAACCATTACTGATGATGGATGATGTCCAGTTGCACCCTTGGAACTTTATTTTCAGTTTCTTCAGAACTCTTAGCGTACACTGTATAATTCTGTTTATTGTACTTCTCTTCAATATCGAAAAATTTTTCGTCCGTAAAGAGGATATCAGGTGTCGGTTTTTCGCGTACCGCTTACACAACACCCGCGATCTCTTAAGCCTTATTGCTTTTAGACGAGCATTAAGTAAGTGCCCACTCTTTTTTGTATGCTCGTAGACCAAGATCTTCATTTAAAACCTTTTTACTGTTTTCCTACTGACACCCATCTGCAAATCCATCAACTTCTGTTTTCGGACAGGATTTCTTACTATCGGCTTGATAGCTTTGATATGTGGTGTTTTGGGAGTGGAAGCAGTTATTTTCTTGTCCTCAACATGAAGACTTCAAGGTACCTATCAATAGTACCGTACACAAACCTAAGGTTATATTCAAATTTTGAGCAACTTGAAAATGGTATGGGAGTGTCAAGGGTGCAACGCAATAACAACTATTCGGTTTACTTTCAATGTCCACTCCATCGTGAAAAATTAGGAAAGTTATTGTTTTTGTTTTAAAACAATAATCAAACATTCCAAAATAGAATGCAATAATTTTTTTATAAAATCCTGCTCAAATGTAGAAATAATGTGTAGTGAAGAACTTTGGGACCAACTAAGTATATTTAAAAAAAGGAATCGTAATTACTATGTGACCTTGACAGTGTATTATATATTTTCTTATCTGCGAGGTGTTTTTCTATGAAGTTTAAGCACGATCTCGTTATTAAGGTACTACTTTTACAGCATGAATTATATTGTTAAACGTAACTATCCTACATATTTTCACTTACTGTTTTGGCTTCTAAATGTAAAATAATTTTAAATCGTTTCAGTTGTTTGTGAGTTCACTAAGTATTGCAATACAAACATTAAAAAAATATATCTATTAAAATCTTATGATAATATGCACAAGAACATGTAAATCTTATGACAATAACTCAAAGACGAATACAATGTATAAGATTTGCATGAAAACACAACCAACAATTAGTTCATAGAATAATTCTATCTATTTATTATTTTTGTTTTTTATGGGACATAGGGCTGGCGGTACCTTAGAGTTGGATACTTGCAATGCTAGTCACACCTGCGACTTGTGTAGTCATTTTAGTCTATGGGCAAATAGTTGATTAGCCTTCTGTACTTATACTTCTAAGATATGCTGGAGTCCTCGCGATGTTTTAATTCACCGTACGAATAAGTGATAAAAGCACCCATTGCGATTTGTACGCACGAACTTAGTTGTAGTTGAACGTCGGCTACCCTATATTATTTGCGGTCAACTAAGCTAACACTGCTCGCCTATCTCTTTATATTACCTAAAAATAATTTATCTTTTCATTTATCAGATTATTTCTCTGTGTTATTTAGTTTCGACTAGAAAAAAAAGATACACTCACAAAAGAAGTTTTGTTTGAAATTGAAGTCATTCCTCAACGTCTCTCAAAAATATACACAAGTATACTGAAAAGATAATTGCTTTTCGAAGTTTTAATGGCTTCATGATGGCCTCGTTTGGAAGATAAAACTTATACCCAAAAATGGGCTTTATGTAGCTTCTATTGAACATGCGGTTAGCTCTACAGCTAAAAGACATTCAATTTAGAAAAGCCTATACCTACCCTGTATGCCGAGAGTATACTTATATTCTGTTTCACTAATATATTTTTAGTCTATTGTTTTTCTTTATCAAGTCTATTATTTTAATACCTTCCTGATATAGCTTGACTAACGGAAATTACTTTCTGTTTAAAAAAGTAGTTTAAATATATAGTAAGTTATGCGTATTTTTAAATATTTGTAATATAATCTTTAACAAATTTAAGAATAATAAACATATTTTCAACCAATTTATTCTATTCTATTCGGAAATATTATTATACAATAAATTTAAATACGAGATGTGAAAGCAGTTATAACGATTCAGAAGTTCCTAAACCATAGGCATGTCATCTTCGAACTCATAAAATTAAGAATATTTTAAGCGGTTTACGAGATAACTTAGATTGGTGCAAAGCAATATACCCTTATTTATTCCGTTAAGCATCAGTTTGAGAAATTCTCATAGTTCTGCAAATAGCAGTGAAAGTCTGTAATGTGACAAACATTATTTAAAAAGTTTGTGCATTGTGAAATATCACTTAACCAATGCAATAAAGACACCACTACAAATCACCAGAATTCATTGTAATAATGAAACTTAATAATAATAGCCGTGGTAAAGCGAAAGTAGGAAACATGTAATGAAGTACTTGCATTGTTGCTTTCTTGGTTTGAAGGGAGTTTGTTTTTTTGTTAAGCCCTTGAGAATAAACCAACAGAGGGAGAAGCATTCAGACGCCAGAATATTAAATATTTATAATAATATATTCTTTGCCTTTTTACATTTCATTTTACCAAAAAATATACCATAGATACAAAAGTTTTGTTATCACGAATTACAACAATTGTTATTAAACGAGGGTGCAAATGTTAAACCCTCTAGCGTTAGTTACTTTTGTTTGATCGATGGAAATCTGTAACATTGCAATAGCTGATTTGTGAAAAATGGAAAATGCGAATCAGCCAGCTGGAGGAGTGATGGGTGTTCGTAAGGAGTCGTCAGTGGATCCAGTCAAGGCGGAGGGCATTTTGTAAGAGTTAAAATAATAATATTGAGAATACGCTTATTGCTAACACGTTGCTGGCAACCGTCATTGCCAGGGAGCCAATTATTTTAGTTAATGCAGATGTTTCTAACATTGGTTGACTGTAGTACCTTCTTGCATAAATAATATGAACTGAAAATGATTATTGTCATTTTGTCGACTTAACTGCGGCATTATAATTTATCTTTGACGTTAAACTTCATTTAAATTAATAATAAATTAATTTTTGAAATTTCATTACAGAGCGACTGTTACAAAAAAAGAAAAGGATGCAGCTCGCCTATGGTCGCAACGATGGGGATTTTATAAACATTTACGTGAAATTCAAGAAGAAGAGGCACAAACAACAGGTAACTTATTACGTAATATATGGTAGAAAAATTATAAGAAAATATAAGAAACGTTCAGTGTTTGACTTATAAATTATTTAGGCATTTCTTTCTGATTATACATCTTAATATATATATTTCTTGTGTGCGTGTGTATATGACTGAACTCCTCCTAAACGACTGGACCGATTTTGATGAAATTTTTTGTGTGTGTTCAAGGGGATCTGGGAATGGTTTAGATTCACAAATCAGCCCGGCAGATGGCACTGCAGTCGGTACTTTCATACTTTGCTTAATATCCTAATCGCTTTAAATATCATGCAGGACAACGTCTGTGGGGTCCACTAGTTTATATTTATTTTTTTGCTGTTTATGATTGTAAACATATTTTTTATAGTTTGTATGAATATTCACAGCAACCTTACATAATACGAAAGCAACTCTGGGCCACTGACGTCATGGTGGAACTGTACAGAGGTTTTACCCTAAAACATATGTATAACGAGTTTTGCGGAGTGAATTGCCCAACTATCTCAATAGCAAAAAGCGTGAAGTGGGTCGTCTGCGCACGTCCGTATTATTACTGACGCGGGAATAATCTAAAAATGCATACTCTTATAATTACAGTCAATATTTATATGTAATTTATTTTTGCTTCTGAAAAGCTTTAATTATTATTACACCCAATCTCAGATTAAATATTGTATAATTATAATTCGATTACCTATAACTTATATATTCTAAAACCCTCAACAGGATTCACATTAGAAGAATACCGCGCCATTTTACGCTCACGGAGTTGTAAGCCTGAAGATCCCATCGACCCAGTTGAGGTTAAACATTCACCAAAACCACTACCTCAAACAACATCCGGTACGTTTTATATATTATAAACATATTTTTTTGAATGTTGACAATTACACAAAGTTTTCGATGCAACTCCGCAGGTATGATTGGACATCGAGTGAATTGTACATTAGAACGGTTCGGACGATTGATCACCACAGCGAAGACCTACCCCATCCGGCCACCACTACGACCGGGTCAAATCTACGATCCCTATAAACAAACAATGATTTTTCTTGGGTAAGTTGCAAAACGTTGTGGCCAAAACAAATCGCCTAGATAATCTAATAAACCGTCTATTGGAATGTCCTAGTTCACTAGTAGCCAGTAAATATGTCAACATAAACATTGTCGCAGCGTTCTCTAGTCAGTCACTACTTAGGCATGTAAATAAAGAATCTGCCAAATTTATGATTCGTTTTTCGTGTCATAGGAGCTTGGAAGGCGACCCAATATCATACAAACTGCCACCGGCGAGGTGCGAGGTGACTGACGAAATGTGGGCACGCCCGCAGCAAATGCATGTATCACCCTATCAAAACGGCATTAAGAGTTCTCTTCAAGCACGTTTTTAAGTGTTTGGGTCAGAGTCGCAAGTATTTTCATAGGTAACTCAGTCAGTGACTTTTAATGCAATAATAGCTTTTGGCTACTTTTTAAACAGAAATTTATTTTTTAATGGTTTCATTATTCCTGAGTATTTACTGTAATGACAGTCGGCGCTACGGTAAGAGCGCGTCCACCGGGACAGAAACATTTAAACCATTGTTGTATTTTTTAAAAATAAATAAGCTCCTTATCTATTCAGTTCCAACAAGAAGACAAGTTTGTTTTTAAAATTTAAAGTATCAAACATGACTTCATACTGTGAAGTCGATATTAAAAGAACACAATACTTTAAATTGCAACCAAATCAAAATTCCTATTACGTACAGATAGTATTTTTTTATTATACATATTAATTCAACTTATTGTTGTACAGTACATTATCAGTATTTAATTACGTTAATGCGAATGTACGATATTGGATAGATTTTTTCGATGTCAATGGGAAATTGGTGCATCATACTTAAGTGTAAAGAAATGCGAAATTAGTGTTTTTTACATAAATTATTGTATAAAATATAAAATGAAAGTACAAAAATTAAACAAGTTTAAAAAAAAAATATTTTTATTTTGATTCCACCATATTGTGTGTCTTCTTTTTCAAAACGGGCGGTAATTGCATCAAAATTTGTTCAGGTAACGTCTCAACAATTACAGCCTCATTAGCGCCCAGCCAATGAAACCCGGCCAAATACTGAAAAAAAAAAACTTTATCAATCACAAGAATCATGTCAATGTCAAGTATATATGTCAAAATTACTTATAATTAATCGTAATTGGGCACACAATATAGTGATCGTTGAAGTTAATTTCATTTAAATTATGTGAATGTTAATTGATGTGATCTCGTAGCTTAGGACTGATTCAAACGTCTGTCCAGTTTTATATTTAAAAAAAAAGGTGGCTCGGTATCTTCAGATTGGTAAGCGGCCAGCACCCGTTTCTACATAGTATCATAAATAGTATAGTAATAAATAATTGTAACAATTACACTTAGCAGTACGACATTCTTCCAAGGATTTTGGGTACATAGTATATTGTGCCATATAATGACAAGTTTTTTCGCGAAATGTTTCTCAAATGTGTCTTGTTATATTAATAAAACATAAAAACCTGTTAAATCATATCGAATTATGCCTTCAGGATAACAAGTAAATAATATTAAAATAATTTGAAGTGCGTTAAATAGTCGGTATAAAATGTAATTTAAACAAAAATTTCATTACCTTAACTGGCATTATGTTTACTCCATTCGTATGGGCACCTTTTTGTTTTCTTTTTGCTTGAGGTTCATAATTTTCTGACATCTATAAAAAATATATTATATACGTATTAATTTAAAAAAAAATTTAATACTATCTTTCTGCCACTTATCGCAATTTTTTAATAATTGTATGAAGTTAATGTCGGCAATTTTTTTTAACCGATATAATTATAAATACGCGTTTAATTAGTTGTATTTTCTTTTATTGTAATAGTGATTTTTGAATGACATTTGAAGAATACCTTTATTAATAATTATAAAATCAATAATAATGAATTTATCCATATTTTCTTTTATCGCTTAATATATCTAATGAGTTACTTATATTTACACGTTTTATTTAATATACAGGCGATATTTGTAATGTTTTTATGATTAAGTTACTTGCGTGTTACTATTAGCACGCTATAAAACGCTTATAAACGATAACCCATTTCTACTCAGCCTTTAGACATTATTTTTTTCTTGTAAAAATAATTATGAAGAAATAAATAAAATAAAATTGAAGCAAGTCACCTTCTGTCTATCTAGCACCCACATAGCGGTCTCATCGGTGAATATTAAAGCATCTCGTGCTGGATGCGGGATTATGTCGTTGGCGGCCATTTTGCGTCCGCGCCAAAATGTCACATTGTCAGTTTTCGATTTACACAACTTTTGCTGATCGAGATCGTATTGGATTACCTGTCAACAAAAAATTATACAACTGTAAATGGAAAAATTGGCACTTGACATTGTTTTTATATTCAAAAAAGCGTTCGATATATTATTAATACATTTTCATGCATTGTAAATAAAAGATACCTCAAAGAGATTACACATATCAGATGTAGAACATGATGATGAACAGATGCCTGTGCGTGATATTTGACATACCTATTTTCTTTTAAATGAATTGTTACCCTTGAATGGGTAAAACTAATTAAAGACTGATTTTAAACTTTAAAAAAACAAATGGCGCTCCAACTCTTTAGGTCTAGGCCTCAGATTTCTAAGTCTGTTTCGTGATCATTTGTTTTTTCCAATACGAAAGTAGGTGATCAGTCTTCTGTGCCTGACACACGCCGTCGACCTCAGGAATGAAAGTCGCATGCTGAAGCCACTAAGCTAACACTTTCATTACCTGTCATCAATAGACAACTTTAAAAAGAAGAAATAGTTACAATTAAAAACAAACTTGTTTTCCACTCTAAAAATTTAAGCATGTATGAACCCAAAAGTCGGAGGCCAAGACTTAGAGATTAAAGCGTCACTGGTTTTTGTATGTTTAAAGCATTTAAAAGCGTTAATGGAACATGTAAGATTTTTTTCGGACGCGGTCTATTCATATATTGAATAAAATATTATATATACCTCTTGATCCACATAAGTCACGATAAGCATCATATTGTGAATGACCATAGCAGATGGTACACACGAATACTTGGGTAAATTAAGTAGATATTCAAACTTTTTCGCACGTTTAACCCACACAGCAATTTCGCCTTTAGTATCCGCTGCAGCAATGTACAGTCCATTTTGAGCATGCTTCGAAAGGGCGATGTGCAGTATCGAGCCATTTTTCAAGTCTGTAATATTTGAATACTTGTTTTGAGTTTTTATATGAAACTAGCGGACCCGACAGACGTTGTACTGTGGACACGTCATAAATACAAAAAAAATTAATTGTAAATAAACCACTCGAACACACACAAAACATTTCATCAAAATCGGTCCAGCCGTTGAGAAGACACATGCCCAGAAAATTCATATATATGAACATAAAATAGTATAAGTTGGTTAAATTTATATGTTTAATGGTAGAGAATTTCATTTTTATATCTCAATTATCGTAATCCGCGAATGTAAAACGCGCCTATTTTAGAACCGTTAAGGACAATTCCTAGGGACCAAGCCAAAAATGCGGCCTAATCGACTAAACTAAATTATATTTAACTAGGTGAACTTTTTATCACCTACATATACATATTTGTGTCAAAACCTTAATACTAAAATTTTAAAACAGACCATAGAGATCAGACTTAATACTACAGCTATAAAACAAATTTCTGAAGGCATCTATAAATATAAGACAACCAAGTGACAATTTTTTATTTCTCAAAAGATAAGACATCAAATAATCACCAGCCTCACTGTTTTTTTGGAACAGTATTTATTTGAAAAATAAATTGCCGTTTTTAGTATTTTTCTTTACTTATAATTAACGTTACCAACCATTTCAACCTTCCCTGAACACACAATAACATTTCAAGATCATAATTAACCGAATCAGTCCCGCTATTTTTAAGTTTTAGCGAAACAGGAACAGCAATTAATTTTTATATATATACATAAAAAATAACAACAAAAAAATCTAAAGAATAAAAAAAAAATTTGGGGTGGACACCCCGTATCACTTAGGGGGTTGAAAGATAGATAGTAGCCGATTCTCAGACCTACTGATATGCATATAAAATTATATAAAAATCGGTCAAGCCGTTTCGGAGGAGTATGGTAACTAACATTGTGACACGAAAATTTTATATATAAGATATAGATTTTAAAAAAATATTTATGTTAGAATACTGCAAGCGGGCATATTTTTTAAATAATTTTACCAAACACGACAAAAATGCGTTATAAATTAAGAGTAGTGAATGTTTTACTAACGCTTTTTGGTAGATATGGTCTGTATCAGGGTCGCACCCACATCCGCATCAACCAGCATAATGTATACATCAGTGCCTTTCGTTGCGATCATCAGTTTTGAGTCCTCCGAAAACGTCACTCGATCACAACACTTCAACTCGTTTACGGGTAACTTCTGTAGAGATATGTTGCCCTGGTCTTCATCCTACAAATGTTTTATATTCATAGTTATACACACTTGTTGCCTTAGAATAAAAAATGTTACTAGCAAAGATAGATAATGTATAATTTTTTTTAAATAAATCTACCAAAATCCAAATGACATAGTACTTTATATTCAATAATGTATAATAATCTTAAAATAAATTCTTGTGGTAGAAAAGATTTATCAGGCAGTCGGCCTGATTCTGGTATGCAATACATAAAATTCACTATTTTTATTGGTAATTTTTTACTATGTCATTAGAATATAATTAGACCTTTTTGTTACTATTGCCTGATACCCAATTACCTATTTATTAACATATTGACTATTCTAGTAATACAAGGCCATGTATGTGTACTAAGTAATGTCGGCTATGGGTGTCCAAGCTGCTTATATTGCTGTTACGGATTGTTTTCCCCCTAAATTAAAAAGAATAACTGTTGGATCTTTAGTACTTACCAATTTAAGCATTCTGACATCACTCTCAGTAGAATAAACTATCAGTTCTCCATTCGGTGAAATATTACAACACACTAAATCTTTCTTTCCTTTTGTTTGTATTGAGGTAATTTTTAATGGTTCTTCTGAAATTTGTAATGTTCTTTGTTTTTCTTCATGATGCTTTTTTTTTATAAACGGAATTTCCGTATCTTTTTCTAACTGTTGATTATCGCTTTCCTCGCTATGTTGTTTCATTCCTGTATTGATAATGACATCACCCTTATTGTTTACAGCATAAGAGCCAAGTTTCCATATTTCAAGATGATTATTGAATCTGTAATAGAAAAATATTAACTAAATTTGCCTTGATGCACTGTTCTGTAAAACTTTGCAGGCCTATGTATGGTTGTAATGTCTTATAATGTACGTTAAAAAATCCATTCCGGTCCAAAAGATAAGTCCATTAAATAACAAGTAGAGCTAGAGCTTCTACAATGTGATATTACACAATTTTTAAACTTAACACATTAATAAGCCAATAACTTAATCAATTGGGCTATATAGAAATGTACCAATTTATTCAATTGATTTTTTGTAGCAATCATACCTTAATAATAATAATTTCTTTTCTGCTGATACAGCTGTTCGAGGCATTGGTAGCATTGGTGGTATCCTCATTACCTTCTTTGGAGGGTAACTAGACAATGTGACATACCCATCAGCACCTACTGATATTAATCTATCCTTATTTATTGCAAGTGCTCTGAAAATAAATATATAGATATAATAATAATGTAGTGGTGTTACATCTCGCAACTGATTATTTGATAATTTTCTATAGGCAAATGTGTGATCAGCTAACTGTACCTGACACATTGGTGATTTTGGGCCTGACACATACATTTCCTCACAATGATAACTTTCACTGCACAAGCTAGTTCATACAGAGATACAGCTATATTTAATTACTTTGCAGGACAAATGGTCAGAATTTCAATTACTGACTATGTAAGAAGTAATTAAGTATTTTTATACATTATAGCATTGCATGAATAAATTGCCTATATAATTTAAGGCTTCATTAACAATTATGTAATGCAACACAATAAAACAATTGAAACATTTAAAAAAAATATTTGGAATTAACAAATTTATAAATTAGTATTTAACAAATAAAAAACCGCACCTGACATCATGTTCATGTATATTTCGTTGTATATTTTTTACCCAGCGATACTCAGATGGAATATCAGTGTTTTCAACTTTCTTAAACATTGTTATTACCGGATCGACTCCACTGCAGTAAAGGGAATTTTCATCATCAGATATCACTAATGTCAAAATGTCTGCCTTGTGTGTTACAAAAGTTTCAATCTGAAAATATTATACAAACCATGTAGCACTTAGAAAGCTCTCCAGTTATGGATATATTCGAAAATAATTGTCAGAAAGATACTATTGGCCATGGATAGTTAATGTGTGTTAAGTATAAAACAATTTGAAGTTTGTACATTATGGGCCAAATTTAGAGTATTTTTGCAAAACATCACATCCCGCTTATGTCTGTCTAATTTACTGAAAGTTTTTAACTCTACTCAAATTACTCCATAATGTGTAAATAACATACTATTTCTATTTGAAGCAGGTAACTTAAAAGAAATTTATGAGAAAATTTAATTTAGATTAACTACTTTAGGTCATTTTATACCCGTGTACACATACCTGATCCCCAACAGTACCATCCCAAATGGTAAGACGACCATAGCTGTCACCTGACACAATAGTGTTATCAGATAAAATGCCAATACTCCACACTATTACTTCTTCACCTCTTCGAGTACAAGAAATGCGGCATGTTGCATGACCAGTGTTAACATCCCACACACGAATTGTATTTATCGATCCTAATAAATTTATGAATACTAACATTATTAATAACTCAGACTTAGATAAAACAAATATGATAATGATTTATAAATGCTTTTAAATATACATATGATATAATGGTAAATTGCATTTACAGACTGTTACCAACTATTAAATAAGTTTTTTCCACATTAACTAATGCATTAGTTTATAAAATTCAGGTAGGGGTTAAGAAATCATTAATTTAAGAATAAGAAAATTTAAATACTGTTCTATATAAAATCATCAAAATGGTTAAAAATTTAAAATATATATGGTTTGATTCTTAACTAAATTGAAAGTTATAAAGTACCTGTAACAAGTGTATTTCCAAGTTTATTAAATTTACAGCATAATATTCTGCCTTCTTGCTTATCAAACAATTTCTTGTATACAATATCACCATTGTTGACAGAATAAATATTTACATAACCCTGTTCTGTACCAACTGCAACAATTGTTTTAGCCTCGTCTACATCTAGACACCATGCTGCATATCCTGTTAGCATTACACTTTTCTTTATACATGAGTTTTCAAGATCCCATTCTACCAAAGCAGCCCCAAGGCCAGTAGAAAGTAACCTTTCATGAACCCAAGCCAAAGCTTCAACTGAAGAATTTTCTCCACCAGGTATACACTTTATTAGAAATGGAGCAAAATTAACATCCCATATTTCAATACTTCCATTTTTTCTGAAATAATTAAAACAACTTTGTTTTAAAACAAATTAAAAGTCGGCATGCTCTATGTCCGTAATAAGATTTCTTGGTACTATAAAATAAATAAATTTAAAATACAGACCATAAGTGGTATACACACATAATATGTTTATTGGAATTATAATTACAATGTATTAATAAAAATTGTGATTATTTGTGTCTGAATCAGACATAAAGAATAATAAATACCACTAACCTTGCCAAAGCTAAGAGTTTATTATTTTTGTCATAAGAAACACACTGAATTGGTACTGGCTTAGGGTTGTAAAATCTAAATCTGTGAACTTTTGTCTCCATTCTGGTTTTGATATAAATCTCATTTATAAAACACACACTTTTTTCTTGTATTTACTTAGATATAAAAATATTATACACTTTTAATTTTCAAATTATTAAAAACATACAACACACATGGTAAAATTATTAATTTGGTTATATTTTGATTTTTGCCTTTTTTTTTTTTTTTTTTTATGGTTAATTTGTGATTACAGGTAAGTATAGATTTTTATAATTGTGTCGTTTTTTAGAAATTGAAGTGCCTTTATGTAGGTTTAAGCACTCGCCGGTACCAACCCTCCCAAAGGCCGAGAACAAATTTGAATTAAATTAAAACTTGCCCTCGAACAGGGAATCGAACCGGTACTACTAGCTCACTTAATAAGACCGCTAGGCTGAGGTTTTGCCTTAAATCTAAATTTATACTGTCAAATAAAGTCTTTAAACTGCTGTCAACCAGACCCCAGTTAACACCGAAAATGGCTGTCGAGAGTGTCGATACTGTCAAATGTCGGCCGTCATTTACTATGTAGTAATAGTAAACTGTCTTTATAGAAATTAGGATAGGTATAACTATCTTGGTATGATTAATTTACTTCAAAAGTCGTAATTAATAAAAAATCTTTGTGTTTTCATAGAAAAATCCCAAGTGATTTTAATATGGGTGACGGACAAAGTGAAAATCAGCCTCTATTAAGAGATGGTAAGAAAATGTCTTCACAGCTGATGATTCAACTAATTTTATCTTTGATTTTGTTGCTAAACAATACATGTATGGTGTACTGCTTTTGCCTCCGGGGCTGTTTGTTGTGTAACCGATGTAACTTGTCCAATACCAGTTTTCAACGTAACATATTGCGTATGTGTATCACGCTATAACTTTTGTATTGACAGAGGATGAGAATGTCAGCACTATCTCTCCAATCGGGCCTGATGAGCTACCACCGCCGTACCAGCAAGCTGGCCTACCGATGGTTACTTGCCGGGTTTGTCAAGCGATGATTGATATATCAGGAAAGAGGGAACAGCATGTAGTAAAATGCTCTGAATGTAATGAAGCCACAGTAAGTATAAATGACTATCCATCCATGTTGAAGGATCTGCTTTTGATGTATTTATACAGCAATAAAGAAAATACAGTCATAGGAAGGTTACAATGTACTAAAGTATTGAACAGGTAATTCAACACTTACCACACAACTTACTGACATGTTATAGGCAATACAAAGCCTACATCTATTATGGTTGGGTATTTAAAGAACCTATGTTTATAATTAAAATGATTGTAAAAAGGGGTAGATTTAGAAGAGTAAAAGTAATAAAAACACAAGAAAAAATATGATTCAAATTAGATTATCTGATGACTTTATGTTTGATTACAATGTGTGTCAATTTGTGATAATATTATTATTGTTTAGATATCAACAATTAAACAAAACATCCTTGTCTACACATTCAAGATATTAATATTGCCACTATATTCTCATTTTTGTTATCAACTTTGCTAACCACAAAAAAATATTTTGGAAGAAGTTAAACTCCAGCCTAAATTCAATTAACTATGTGACAAATTCTATTAAATGTGGGATTTAACTTATTCAGAATATTTTTTTTCCAGCCAATTCGAAATGCTCCACCAGGCAAAAAGTATGTACGTTGTCCCTGCAACTGCTTGCTCATTTGCAAGTCCTCGTCGCAGCGCATCGCATGCCCACGCGCCGACTGTAAAAGGATTATAAACCTGGCACCTTCGCCTGTCACTCCACCAGTGCCCACATTGCCTGGCATGTGTAGGGTCATTTGTGCTCATTGCCAGGACACTTTTCTGGTATGTATAATCTTATCTCCATAACTTGTTATATAATTTATTTCTACACAAGGAAATTTTACAATTTGGATTAAACATGGCTTTTATAAATTAAGATACACCAAACTTGTAGGTTTTTTAAAGGTAAAAATGGGTTTCTAAGATTGAACCAAATTACATATATGAAAATTACAAAAGTTAATAGAATAACACAACCTTCTCTGCTACATGTACGCACATGTTTAAGAAATACACCGATTTCAATTATATACATTTAAAAAAAATCATAAAAGCATTTTATATAAATAAAACCGTAAGAAATTGAATATTAATAATCTTAACTTTATTGGCTTCCTTATAAAAGAAGCACAAGTACCTAATGCATAAAGATACATGCTTCACTTGAAGATAGTTTCTATTCAAGTATAAGGAATTGAAAATGTCTAATAAGTTTGCATTGCATTAGTTCAACTCTTAACATATTATAAATTTTAAACATAGTAAACTAACCCCGGGTCTGGCCATTACCGAAAAAGCTTGAAGTTTCTAGCTGGTCTCCTAATTTATTTATTTATTTATTACAAAATTGTTACCCTTTATTCCTAAACCTAGAACACATCACCTTGATTAAATGAAAAAATCTTCTGATAAATCTTACGATGCATTTAACATCAGGTAAAAATACATTATCGCATTAACTCGAGAACGTAACCCGATACAGCCAGGGTTGATGTCAGGGAAAACGTGTGTTTATAAGTAGATTTGGTTCCACGTATTTTAATGATAATCAGGATTGGTTTAAATCAGCTTAGGTTTATATTTTTATTTAATGACTAGTGGTATCTCTCGCACTCTTATAATTATGAAGATAGCCCGACATATACCTAGGTAACACTGAAAATGTTTAGAAAATGAAAAACGGCTTAATGTAGAGTTACCAATACTTTTATTGTTTTTCGAAGCAATCAAATAAATATAAAATTTTTATTCAGAATTATTGTGAAATCCACGTCATATTCCAGTATATACGTGGGTAACACTGAAAATGTTAAGAACTGGCAAGTTAGAAACATTGCTAATGAAAACTTTTTTTGAATTTCAATTTTAGGTAACTTCTTTGGTAACCTGATGTAGTATATTGCATTAATTTGTCATTTGTTTTTGTGAATTGGAGGCAAATCTAAAACTCTTGTTACACGTGAAAATAAACCTAACGCGAGTAAAACATTTTCGGTCAATGATTTATTATGACTTTCGTTGTGGGCTTACTCAATGATACAACAACAAAGCTATGATAGGCTGCGATTAGCATTTCTTAATGAAGCCCCATCTAGTGCCACTATTTACAATTGGTTTAACGAGTTTAAGCGTGGACGTACCAATCTCAATGAAGATCCGCGTGAGGGACGTCCTTTAACAGCGACTACTGAAGATAACATCAGTGCTGTGCGACGCATGATAGAGGAAGATAAGAGAGTGTCCTATCAGCAGATACGGACAAGCCTAGGCATTGGTATGTCAAATATTACACGAACATTTAGGCGTCAGGAAGCTTTGTACCAGATGGATTCCCCATACTTTAACCGACGACCAGAATCAACTTCGCATGGACTAGTGTCGCCAAATGTTAGATAAGTTCAATGGCGGTGACTCAAATGCTGTATTGAAACACAGGTGATGAAAGCTAGGTATATTGCTACGAACCCGAAACCAAAAGACAATCAGCTCAGTGGGTGTTTCCTTTCGAGGATCGGCCAACTAAGGTAAAGAAATGAAGAACTTCACTTCACTTCACTTTATTTATAATGGCGACATCTGTGTAAATCACAATTCCGCCAATGTCACGTTCTAAGTCTTCACAAGTGAGGATAGATTTGATAATTTTGATAGATTGAATTTTATCTAAGTAGAGTTACCCAAAACAAAAATGACATCACAATAAATACAACACACACAGACATCTAATAATATATACAAGAGGTTAACATTTTACTACAAAGGTATGGAGGGGAGAATCTTATTTATAACTTTAATTTATTAACAGAAATAAATTTCCCTAAAATTTTGACGATCACGCTGGATGGGAGGGAAAGTAGGGAGTTAAGGTTACATGGACGAGAGGAAATCTGAAGAAAGATGGTCAAATAACGAGTCATTAATTAAAGAACAGTTAAAAAATATATGGTCTCTCGAGCCCTCGTCCATACCACACTCACAGAGAGAACTGTCTTTAATTTTAATTTTGGCTAGATGAACGGGAGTACAAGCGTGCCCTATACGAAGACGGCAGATTATAGACGTGACCTTTTTGTTTAAAAACTTATATTTAAAAAACCACGGCGAAGAAGGGATTGAATACTGAATATTAGCATAGTGCCTGCCAGTTTTTACTTTAGAAGATTGCCAATCAATAGTCCAGGATTTTAAAAGGTGGGAGTACGCAAGAGCTGATAGGTCGTGGGCCGAGATGTTGGGATGCTGACAAGATCCGTAGAAAATAGCACCTTTTGCACAAGAGTCAGCAGTTTCATTACCCGCTATACCACAATGACTAGGTATCCACAAAAGTACAATATGAATATCTTATTTACTACACCTAAACAAAGCTTCTCTTATTTTTAGAATAGTATTATGTTTTTTTTAGACCTGAATGGATTGGAAAGAATTGCCTGTAAACAGCTGCGAGAATCGGAAAAAATTGTAACTTTATTTAGGTTGTGGGACTCAGCATACAAAACCGCTTCTAGGATTGCAAAAGCTTCACCTGAAAAAACGGAGGTCAATGGAGGAAGTTTAAAGCTCAATACTGTTTTGAATGAAGGAACCCATACAGCCGCACCGATGTACTCATTATTGGGAATCTTGGAAGCATCAGTATACATCGGTAACCAACCCTGCCAGTCTTTTGAAATTTTTTCCAGAAAACAAGTGGAAGCTTGGGTGGATTTTTTTCAATTGCAAAGTTTAAAATTATTTTAGGATCAAAAATGAGGGATTCATAACTATTTAAAAACAAGGGATTACTAGGGAAACTTTCAATAGGATTAGAAAGACGAGAAAGTTTATTAAAACTGTATAACAGGCATGGAACATTACCTGTACTAGATGGCATCGTGAGATTAGATAAGCGACGTAATTTGGACAAGATGGAATGTGAAGAGTATTGAAGGACTTTGATGAAGAAGCGGTCACTTAAAAATTGTCTACGTAAATACAGAGGGGGTCAACACATTCTATTTGGAGAGCATTGATGGGAGAGGATTTCATAGCACCAAGGATGATGCGTAAAGATTTCGATTGAATTTTGGAAATTTTATCAAGGGCTTGTTGTTGCCAGATCTAAAAGGAAGGTGCCATAATCAAAATGACTTCGTACCACAGCATTGTATAAAAGCTTTTGGAGTAGGGGTGGGCTCCCACCTCACACCAGATAATGAAGGAGAAAGAAAGGAAGAAGTCAAGGAAAAAAGATGATTGCCTCATTCTTTGGTCGGAAAGGTCATTTCGCGACAGTTGTGCTAGAAGATGGAAGGAAAGTTACTGCAGACTGGTATGTCAATCGCTGTTTGCCTGTTGTCTTGGAAAAAAATCGACAGCAGCGCCCTCGAAACAGGATCCTCCTTCAGCGCACTCCGCAAAACGGACTGTTGAATATTTGACTATGGCAGGTGTCGAGATAATGAGTCATCCGCCATACAGTCCTGACCTGGCGCCCTGCGACTTTCATTTATTCTCAAGAACTAAAGATAAAATTCGAGGAATTCGCTTTACGAGCCTTGAAGATGCGGTGAAAGCGCACGAAAATGGCATAGAAGAGACCCCTAAGGAAGAATGGGCCCACTGCTATTCTCAGTGGTTCCATCGAATGCGACGATGTGTAGAAAGGAACGGAGATTACTTCGAAAAACAATAAAAGTATTGGCAACTTTCTACATTAAGCCGTTTTTCATTTTCTAAACATTTTCAGTGTTACCTAGGTAACTATAGTATTATTTTGCCAAAACAAGATTTAACAATTTCAATTCTATGAAACTGTTGCACGTACTCAAACACGTACTTTATTTCAGTATCAGCTGTTAAAGAATGCTCCGGTACGATGCCCGCACTGTCGTAAGGTGTCATCAGTTGGAGCAAAAATGCGTCGAGTGAGGGGAACTATTTTCGCGGTACTGGCCTTAATCGTACTGGCCATAGCCCTGGGAGTCACCTTTGGTACCTGGTCAGCTGCTAAAAGCCACGGTGGCGGTGTTTATGTGGCCTACGTGGGCGCTTTTGTCCTTGCATTGTTATTAGGAAGTCGCGCCATCTATTATTTCGCTATGAAAGTAAGTCACATTGAAGGACCCATGTAGACTACGATAATTTCACTTGTGATAGACTTTACCAATATTTTATTCCATATTGCATTATATATACTTTTATTTGCTGTTTATCAGGATTTAGGTTCTTTTGGAATATCCTAATAGCACCACGTAAGGGGTACGGAATATATCGCAAAACTAGATATTAACTATGTATGTAGTTTTAGCAAATACAATTGGAGAGTTTTTGGTAGCCATTTAGGTAGGTAAGCATTCCGTTGTGTGATTTTTTTAATAATGTAATTTTATAAGCTATTAGCGATCTTAATTGAGGTAGATTTTATACATTGATATATATAACCGCCTTCATAATAATATGACTTTTTCTGCTATTTAAGCGGAAAATCATTATCGGATTTGCTTGAAATAAGCTGACAAAGTATTTACGGAAGATATTAAGTACGCGTGTGAATTATTATTATATAAATGTTGCACTTTTACATCAGTTTCTAACATTGTTGCCTTTGGAATACCGAAAGGACAGTAAAAAACTGAATAGTGACCGAACATAACTTTACCGACACCAACATACAGTAGGGAATTTCCAGAACATATTTTTTTAATGTCATTTAAAAGTTGTGTTAAATTTCTTATAATTTTGGGTGTCGCAATTTAAACTACAAAGCATGTAAAATAAGTGCATTGTTATAGCAATTACGTTTATGTACTAAAGGTATACTCAACCTAATCAGTGATAAACCGCCTAAAAATAAATAAAATTTAACTAATTAAATTCCTTTTGAGATCCGTATTATCAACAACAATTTAGTTCAGAACTCCATAGCAAAGTTTGTCTACATGGGTCTGATTATATCGTGTAGATTTATAGCATAAAAACAAAATATTGCAATATTATAAAAATTCATTCTACAAGTTGCTTGAATCATTGTCGTTAGACTAGATTTATATCGAATACATGTAGGTATAAAATTAGTAAATACATGTTATGTTTAACATAAAATTAGGGTTGACACATGTATTTTAGAAAACTAACACATATATATCTAAATTTGATAACTGCTGTGAATTATTCTTGATTTTTTAAAATATACTGTTATTACTTTACAGCAGTCATCAAGTTTCCCTTATTTTTAATTTTCATATGTGTAATCTAGTTCTATAATGTGCTGTGTTATGACTTATTTTGTGTGTCTGAGATTATAGATATAGGCTGCCAATGAACGGTGCTTTCGACAATTTATCCCAAAATAAACAAACTAATCTAAAATTGCGTTAAACATGTTCTCGCTTGCGCACTATTGTCGTCAATACTTCCCGAAGAAAGTTTCGTTATAGCCACGCATAAATAAGTCAGCGTAGTTATTGAATAAATGTATACGCCAATGAAATCATACTATTATAGTATTTTAATACCAACACCGGCTTGATGGCATTAGAACAATAACTCACTTTAATATTTTTAATACTTTATAATATTAAAGGTATCATCTTCATGCAATGTGTACGCGCCAAGTAGATTTCGTCTGTTAGCGTGTTAAAAATAATAACAGTGTGGGAAATTATTGAAAAAAATACTTTTGTTTAAATTTTAGGATTCTATAAATAGTACCACCAACTACGTCTGGATTGACGTGCGTAACCCATAGAAGTAGTTCCAACTTTGATCAAGCCACTTGGTTGTTGTCTATGGCGTGTTATCATTATCTGTAATTTTTAGCTGGAGTTTATCAATTCGGCGTGTTACATTTTTATTGTATAAAAAAACAAAATTGTCACGCATTGCGCCTAAACGATTAACGCAGATAAAGATGCCGACGTTAGTTATCGTCTGTTTTTAATGCAATAGCCATCGTTAGTTAATTAGACATTTGAGTCTTATTTGGTTTTCTACAGGGTATTTGTTTTTTTGAAAAAAAAAATTTAGTTGGTACAGTTTCGTTAAGCTATGTTCCAATTTATGTTATATGTTTATAATCTTAACAGTTTTGGTATAGACAATCAATCAAATAGTCTATGGATGCCCGTTCCAAAAAGACGTTTGAAATGTATAGTGTGTGTAGTTTGCTCCGACTTCGGCTCATGATTTTTCATACATCAATTATATGCTCAGCACTTATTGGTAGGTTGAAGCTTAGTCCACAAGCTATAAATTAACTTCCGATTTCTATATCGAAATTAGGAGTCATAGTTGTTAAAAATGAACAATTATAAAATGTGGTTTCTCTACAAAATCTTGTTTGTAACAATGATTGAATTTGAAATATAGCAAAACGAGCGTATTCAATAATTTTATTATAGACACTTAATAATTAGCTTCGCGATACAATACTATTAATATATTCTATAAAGACTGTTTTTGTGGCCATGAGTAATATACGAAACTGAACTAAACACGCATGAAATTCATACGAATATGTATATCATTAAAATTGACTATCTGGTAAATGGAAGACTATGTTCGGAATTTCTTTATACTCATCCTAAATTAAGTCATTTTTAAGTTTATTTTTATATTATTTTAATTACTTGGATGTTATTTTTAAAATTGTAAAGTTTAGTTCGCTTTAGTTAATTGTATTTTTTTAAATTTATAGTTGTGTATCTATTTAGCCTTAAGTACAATTGGTATCTAAATAACCTGTCAATATAAACTTTCAAGTATTTACAAAGATCTATAAATAATGTTTATTAGTGTGTAATCTTTCCGTAAACGGTTGAAATGAAATGAACTTCTGAAATGATAAGTGTTTAATTTATATGTTTCTTTACATTAATGGTATGTTTTTATAAATGTAAAATATAAAGTTTTTATATATATGTTGGCCTACTGGCTTGAGCGTGCGCCTCACTACCCTGAAGACATCAGTTCGAATCACGGTTGTGCACCAATGGATTTTTCTTTCTATGTACCCACTTAACACTCGCTCGTACAGTGATGGAATACATCGTGAGAAAACTGACAAAGAGCCTACCAATTCTTAAATGAACGGCAATGCACTCGCAAACGAGTCCTCTGGCATTGAGTGTCCAGAGGCGGCAGTATCACTTAATATCAGGTAAGCTTACTGACCGTTTGCCTCCTGTTCTATAAAAAAAATGGAGAAATCGAGTCTGGCCCAGCTCCTTTATTAGTTTCAAGTCCTTCCATTTTCTTAGATATTTCAGCTTCATTAAAGCTAAAGGACATTTAGACCATGAACATTGCCAATATTACCTAGAGTCTAACTACCAACAAGTAATTCATCACAAGTATATACAGACGAAAATTGATATGAAAAAAGATTAGCAATATGAAGAGATAAGCGGCGAATGACCACTTTTATTGTTTTTATGAAACTAAATACATTGAGGATTATTAGGAATATTTGCCTCAATATTTCGCTTCTATTTAGTATAGGAATCATCGTAAATCGTGATACTCTATTTCGTCTAGAAGATTCATGTATATTCGGTAGGTACCTCCTACGTATTTTTATCATATAAATATTAATTCTTGACAAAACTATTAGAAATTACTTAGATGATACATACGGCTCTGAATAGCCATGTCAAAAAATATGACGGTAAAGGTCGCCATAGACGGACCGCTCCGCAGCACAACTGCTCCAAGCTGTCGTGTACGACTTCAACGCGAACGCTCTAGAGCAGTCGGTCTCGGCTGCAACATACGGTCCGTCTATGGCCAGCGTAAGTGCTCTCGGGTCTATTAACAAATGAAAACAAATAATTTTCACACAAATTTTATTTTGTACATTTTAGTGCTAATATCGAAAAATTTTACTTTAATGACTATACATATTTAATATAGAAAAATATACAATAGACAAATTTTATTAAAATGGAAGGGTAATAGATTATAGAACTCTATCGACTAGATCTCCAAGGACATTAATAAAGATAATATTATTTGGACTTCAACCACCTTATTCTTAAATCTAAACCAGTAAAATTACAGTGTTTTACTAAAGCACTCATAAGTTTTTTTGCCAAACTGTTGACGTTAAAAGAGATCTTAAGAAATTAAGAATTATAGAGGTAAACAACCATTAACAGAGTTAATTCGATGAAAAAGCGCCTGGGCTTAATTTTAATCCTGAATAATAAAAGTTTCTCAAATACCCAGGTCCCACTTTAATAGGTTTTACTGTATAATATAAACGTGTACATGATAATACAATAAAAAGAATGAGAGATTAGTGCTTGAGTTAAAACAGAAACTTATAATACTGATTTAGTTTTTATGAGTAAGAAAAGTTTTTAAATTAGTCAATGTAAAATTCGGGAATGTTATTACTACTATAAATTAAATATTCTAAAGGTACCTTGTACTTAATGGAAGAACGTAATCCATTATGTACTAATATCTTGTGTACTCGTATAAGCTAAAATCGTTTTGAAAACACATCGAAATATTATACGTATAAGTATTGTGCAAACTTGAAAAATTATTTCCTTACATTACAAACCTATTCCTTAGATAAAACGAATTAGTGCTTACTGTTCGTAAGGTATTGTTTTGTTTCTGAAATGAAGGATAGATTCCATATCAATTGCACTGTAGGCTTAAAATATCGTTAAGATTTTTATTACGGTAGGTAAACTATCCCGGAACTCCACCGTGGGACATTGATACATTTAATTTAATTTGCTTTATAGGCCAGTATAAACAATCAGCACTAATAGATTAGAGAGTTCTGGGCAGCTAATGGCCCTTGCCGTACGTGTCCTTGTGTTGGTATCCCGTTACGTAACCCGAACCATCTACAAGATCCTTACGCCCAGCGATGCCTTTACCCTTGCCGGTGTCGTCAAATCGTTGCTTGTGGGAACCAGTGTACTTTGTTGTGTCCGTCAACCTATCCACAGCAGCGGCTGCGGCTGGCGATTTAGGTAACTGAAATATAATTTTATTAATAATAATTTTGAGCTTTAATGCAGGTAATTTGGATAGAGTAAGTAAATACATATCGATGGTGTTATATAAATATTACATCGCCTTGACATATGTTCGATTTATTATTAAAAAGTCGAGGAAATACAACATCATACTCAATCATCAAATAAATGTGCATTTATATAGGTATTTACCTACATAAATGCACATTGCAAATATAATCATAAATTGTATTTTTTTTGTAAATTAAAAGTATATAATATGTAAAATAAAAACTTTACTACGCAGACAACTAATCACCTGCACTAATCAGTCGCTGTCCACACTTGTTTTCTCCTAATCACTAATCAAAGTGAATACAGGCCTTAATATACTAATCGCTTGAAATATCATGCAGGACAACGTCTGTCGGATCCGCTAGTTAATTATAAAGAAATTATACTTACATGGGTTGATATACCGGGCTGGCCACATGTGGTGAGTTTCTTTTTTATTTCCTCAATATCAACCTTTTTATTCTTCGCGAGGTCATCAAGGAATTTCTGGTAGTCTTCAATGCCGACTTTAACAGATTTCAGTTTTTTGAAATAGATCGCTGTGTCAGTTGTTGTAATTTTCTTTCCGTCGATTACTTTAGCCTGTTTCATCCATTTATCACTCTGTGACAGTGTTATTTGCTTTCCGTCGGATTTTGAGTCGCCGAATTTGGAGAACATTTTGAAGATATCCTGAAATGATTTGGTAAAATTATTATGGATATCCTTACAATATAAAGACGGGACCGATCGCTGGCCATGCGTCGGACTCGTGAACGGGTGGCAGTTGTGGTATTTGGTCGTACTTCGGTGAAGGTTTATACGGCTATGTATTCATTATTTACTGCCTTGATATTTTCATTTTCGTGATGTTCCCACGTGAAAGCTTCTACTTCATTTCGCTGATAAAGGAGAAAGGTTTAGTTTTAGATCTATGCATTATTTTTTTATTGTATTACAATATATAATTTGTTGCAGGTGCATACAAACAGTTTATAAACAACTTTGGGGATTTAAAAGTGTGACGGAGAGTTTATTTTTAATTCTTCTCCCACGGCTTGCTTGATTAAGAACTACGTAACAGTAAAAGAACTGGAGTAAATTTAAATTTAAAAGTATTATTTTTCACAAACTAAACAAAGTATTCGCATTTAAAACTGTGACCCATGTCCTCCATTAGGAAATTGAAGGTTAAACAATAGTTTAAAATAGTTCAGCTTTCTAATGTTTCTTTTTGTAGCCATGAAGTCATCCATTTTCCGCGAGCAATGAATTTGCATGTTACGACTTATGACCTGAGTTCAGTTCTCCGACCTTGTTGCATGTTGCTTTATCTGATAGGTGTTTATGTGGAGCGATAATGAAGTTCTTTGCACGACAACGGTATTTCGATTGAAAAATATATTTCGTCTTATAGCACCGCTGCCGTGACCATTCCCATTTACTCAATAACGAAAGTAGAGTAGGAACTTATATATTAATAAATCAGAAATGATTTTTCATCGTAAGTAGAATATCAACTGTAATTAATATAAAATATTGCATTCACTTAAAACGAATTCGATTAACCGCATACAATTTTCTCAGATAATTTCTTAATGACTACCTCAAAACTTTGTTTCTGTGAAACTGATACTGGTCAAAACGAAACTATAAACGTAAGTCAAATGTATTTTATAAAAATCTAGGTATTATTATATAGACATAGATATTAACCCGAGCTTAAGGTAACCACATCGTTAGAAAATGTGCTCTTAACATACTATACCTATTTCATCAATGGAGATACTGCGTAGAACTTGCGAAATTATGAGACATCGTTTTTGCGGTACTTTATGCATAGCTTATTATATTATTGCATTTATACCTAGCAGGGCAAAATGAAGTGTAAACGCGATTCATTATTAAAATTGAATAAACCAAGGAATTATACATTAAAGACGAAGGTTACACAAACAAAAGTCAAAACTATTTTAAAACATTAAGTAATAGTCTGGACATAACAATTCAAACTACCTTAAAAGGTATAGCATTGTCATCGGTCTTTGTTGGTGTTCCGTTGGCTGCCCCTGGCGCTGACCCATTCTCCAACTTGACGTCCTTCACCCCCTGGGATACTTGCTCCACGGCCTCTTGTGCGGGTTCCGCAGACATTTTGTCACTGAAATTTTTATTTCAAAAATATTTTTTCTGATTGGTGTAGCTTAAATTTACAGATATCGCTTGAGAAAATTAAAAGCTTTTTTTGTTGTAGGTATTTTGCAGTTTTTTGTCTTAAATGTTGTTCAAATAAAAAAAATCTTGCTTCCTAAAATTTGTTAAAGCTACTCAAAAAAGGTTTTAAAGTTAGAAGTTTAGTATTAAGCTGGATTTGCCCAAACATCTTCAATCTAAAAATACAAAGAGAAGTTTCCATAGCTTCTGGCTAAGTTTAAAAACTCTGCAAGGTTCTAAGCTACCAAAATCATAACAAAATAATCATTGTACTTAATAAAGCTTTTTTCGTTGTATTCTTATTTGTATGTAGGCATTCAAAGGCAAAAACGCTAAAAATCGTTAAAGCATGATTTAAGCATTAAAAATTTTTTTATCTACTTTTTATTATTCTTATGGTAAATTGAACTTAAAAATGTAATTTTAAATGAATTTTAACTAAAGTTCGTGTAAAATCACTGTAACTCTTGTAATAAATTTTACAGTAATATTGGTCTCAGCACTATGGTTAAAATGTGATCTTTGTAGTTAAATGGGTTACGGACATCGAATTTTTTGTTCGGGGATTTTTCAAAGAGCTCTTTGGAAGGAAAACAACAATGAAACAGAATTAAGACAAAAAATATCAGAAGCGGAAAGAAAAATAAAACAAGAATATTCGAATAGCTTCAGGCAATTAAAGCATAACTTTTTAAAACGTTGTCGGTTATGTATTCAAGTTGGAGGAAGGAGTTTTGAAAATTTATTATAATAATTAATCGTATTTTTTCAGTAAATTGTGCCTTTTATTTGTTATTAAAAAACACGCAATTTCACGACTAGCAATAATCATTTCAGTAGTAAGTTTCATTTACCATAAGAAAAATAAAAGTAAAAAAAAAACATTTTTTAATACTTCAATGATTTTTAGCCTACCCACCTTAAACGGCCGATTACAATAAAAAAAGACCAATTAAGTACCATTTTTTTCTATGATTTTACTTTTTTTTTAATTTGAGACGTATCAAATCGATGTAACAGATATTATCTATGTATGTATAGATTATATTTGTACGTGTTTTAGATGGCTTAAACGTAATGTGGAAATTGTATTGATCAAAATTGAACTTGGATCCCTTTTACAAATGTTTTAAAATCTGGACATTAAACTCTAATAGGTACCTACCTACTATTAGAGCAACGCCTAGAGTCTTTAAGTAAATCGTAACACAAGCAATATCTACTTATTTATAAACGTTACCTATTCCTACTTATATAATATAAAAAATAAAGATGAGGAATGACAATGTCTGTAATTACAAACTGACCTTTTGGTATAACAATGAATGTTCTAACCGCGAAACATAATGAGATATTATTCATTTTTATTTTAAAGTACACAAAATCCTTCATACTGTTAAGAATATTAGTCTGGAAGATAATTATTATTATTTCAGTGCTTGATACTTGTTTCGTGCAATCTGTTAAACCTGGTCCTGGATTCTGGCAATATGATAATTGTATATTTATGTTTAACGATTTAGGTGATCGTTGAAACAAAACATAGATGCTTTCCTATGCTCCATTGGGAGTATGTGATTAAAAAAAACAGGAACTGTAAACCGTTACAACATGACTTTACAAAGAAATCACTGGATCAATAAAAGGTGGCCTATTTATGGTGTACCAAGATTTCTTATCCTATTAACGATTCTTTAGTTAGGTATGCTCTCCATAAATAACCTAAATACAAATCCTTTAAAAAATTTAATTGCAATGAGGTAATATAGTGACGTCGTGTTTTAGCGCTAAACGAAGCAATTACATCATCGACCTTGTCCGCCATAGGTCATAGGTACGATTTATCTATTCGAAAATATATTCTCTATTTTGAAATTAGAAGTTTGTTTTGATGGGATTATAAGTATCTTTTATTTATTTTATTTTGTTAGTAGTAATTTATATTATACCTATTATTATTATTATCCCAGTGGTAAACAACGCATAGTCTATTGTTTTCCTGATTTATATAACGGAAACGAACCATCGACATATATATAAAGGTTTGTTGCCTGGAAGAGACCGCCGCCAGATGTGTTGTATCAGTTTCGTATTTTAAATTTAATATGTCCAATAAGGTGTAAAACAATATATCAGTAGGAACTAGTATATTGAGAAAGTCAGTTTTCTGCACAATAACAAAACGTTTTTCATATAGATTTAAGATTGTAGAGAATATTATGTTTAACAAATATAAATAAGGAAATGACATCAGATTTACTTTTTTAAAAGGTTCAACCTTGAATATATTATCATCCATACACTAGAAGTTCTAACAGTTATCATTCAATTCCTGGCTACCCACATTTGGGTGTGGAATCACCCAAAGGTTATTTATATTAATCTGGCAAATGTAAATTGTGCGTGGGAGATAATTGTGTTTAAATAAAAGATTATTAGTGTATATTTTGTATGTATGGTTATTAATAAATCTTTTCTATGTGCGTCAAGGTACTTCTTTAATCTACAAAAAATATATTTTATCCATATATAGTACACGTATTTAGAATATTCAAGGATACCTTAATAAACCTTATCTAAGCGATGACGCTAATTTGCCTTCATGGTGTCCAAGTTTGATAAAACACTAGGTAGGTACTACTTTTAAAATGTTATTATTTGTTGGTCTTTGCTAAATTATTGTTTTTTTTTTGTATCACATTGTCACATTTTATTTCAAATTTTGATGATTATTATGTTCAGTTGTTGCTAGTAGAATATATACCTAATTAATTATTACATTATATATAATGTTATGTTAAATACTCCAGTAGAACCAAAGAAAATATCTTCAAATTTATTATAATTCACATTAATATTAAGATTACACGATTGATATTATATCAAACCCTGATAGAGAGAAGCCGGAACTACAACTTAAATAGAGGGTCATTGTTATAGTAAAAGCTACGATAGGCTATTTTTACGGTTAATAAGAACAACCTGAAACAGCAGCGACCTATTTTTCGAGACAGACATTGAAATCAGGCCATCGTAGTTACATGTTTTGCTCTACCTAGATATACTATAGTAAGTACACAATGAAGATCTTATGTATTTGTTGTCACCGGACAGTCAGTTTTATATTATCGCTAAAAAAGTATAGTAATGTTTTAAATGGCTTTTTTATTACACTTAGGCATCTCGTATTCTAACAAACATTGTGGAAGATTACGGCCAAGTCAAAAGTATATTTACGTACAAGACTTTTTAGCATATTTCCAGAATTTTAAGGACATTGTTGTTACAAATTTATTTTATTCTTTAATATAATATCATCACGTTTATTTATATATATGTGATATTTAGTTATGTTTGAACACGTATGTCCTCCTTTATAGAGGGCATGACGTCAGCTCATAGATGGTGCATGTTTTCCATATTAAATTATAACTGTGACTCATCATGTTTTTTGGGGTATCAAAATTTTTAATAAAATTTTCAAACATATGTCGTTAAGAATCCTGAAATGTGAGGTGTGCTTTTTTAATGGGATTCGAGCATACCTATAGATACATTTCAAGGTTATTTACGTTAGGTAGGTTAATATCTTTTTGATGAAAATACATACGCTATCACACTTCCTATTGATAACACATCGCCGTCTAATTAAATGTTCGCGATGAAGGTGAAAAGTGTAGCAAGAAATCTAATAACTGCGTACTAAAGATTTCACTCTCATTCAATGGAAAAGGTCGATGACGTTATGATTATTTACAACTATGTGCTTTTTAACCGTCTTTAAAAAACTGAAGCAGGAATGTAATTTGTTTAATGTAATTATATGTAATAGCTATAAGTGTTTTAGAATCACTTTATTCAAGAGGTTAGGTGTCTCAAGTCATAGTAGAAAAAATAATTAATATAATGGTTACAATAAACTGTCACATAGATACTTATAGGTACTTACAAGTAATATAATACACCTAAAATTCCAACAAATTGTTATATTTCCTAAAGAATTGATTACAAGTCCGCGTAAATATTGATTCTTTTTACAGGCAATTGAATTGTTTACAATTAAAATGAATATAGAGGGCATAGAAGTCAAATTTGATACGAAGTTAAATACATATTTAAGAGACTTACATCAGAATAAGCGCCCGTATCGTCATCGTAATTTTAGCTATGAGAAGTAGAAAGAGAGCCTATGTAGATGAAATCCTCTCCCTATCCATCGTAATTCTTATATAAATATACCCAGAGTGTTATGCATAAGCATTTTACACGACCTTCATAGCTTTACCTATTCAGTGTTTCTAATAAGGTGCATACGCTAATTCGTAGATACGCGACGTAACAAAACTTATTACCTACTGTCAACATTATCTTACCTTGAACATAAGATATTTACCTTTAATTTACGTGCGTTATTTTATTTAAATGACACTACAGTCAAGTTTATCTTATCGAAATTGCATGTCTTATTGTTAGTATTAGTTATCACTTATCAAGTTCTTATCAGAAATTTTATTAATCGGTCGAATTCAATTTCCTATGTGTAAACAAAGAAATTTTTAATATTTTTTGTAGGATTCCTAATTAAATTTAAGTATGTTAGAGCATGATGCGCTTTCAAGTGGTTAGGGCGGGACGACCGATGTGAAACATGAACAAATTCTGTTATTCTTCGGAATTTATTTTATTACTGTTATAAAATTGTATTGAATCAAAGTTTATTCGTATTAAAAACACAAACGCTTCATATGGGACTCCCCCTTGATTCTACCTATGCTGGACCTTTGAACCAGGATTTGCGTTACTATCTAATGGGGTTCTTTGCAAAATTTTCTATGTGAGCTCATTAAAAACAAACTGTATTTTAAAGGATATACCTGTGTCAATAATAAGTAACTATTTTTTTGCAATATTACATCATACAAAAACACGTACGTATAACGTAGTTATTCAACTCACATTTTATTTTAAAGATGAGAGATTAAACGCGCAAACACTGTTGCACACGGCGTTGTCTATTCACGGCACAGCCGAAACTGTTTTGTTGACAAGCCATTGAGCGCGAGGCAGAGTAAGCATGCGCGATGACGCCTCAATTTCCGTCTTCCCAGTTCCCGACCTTCGAGTAGCCACCATTGTGACACACCCTTTAGGCCCATTTACGGAATCATTGTCCGAATAAACTCCCTAAGTATTAAATTATATAACTTCTTCTTATACTATGTAATTTAGTATGATAGTAATTTTAAGTAGAGTACCTTCACACTTGTCTCCAAATTTTTTTTTAACAATCATTCATACTTAAACCATTACTAATATGATTTTTTGAAGACCCTACATTAAATACTTTACACAAAAGCTTTGCTTAAAATATTTGACAGGATCAAAATATATTTAATTTCCAAATCAGCATTTCCTCTTGTACACTACAGGAAAATATTTAGTTTCTGTGTCAAACAACAAGAATGTTCAATTTTAGAACCCAACCAAGTTTAATTATATTACAAAAAAATCTTATTTTTAACTCAAGACAACTTCAGTCATTGAAGTAATGATACTTTTTTTAAACAATCCACATTTATTAAAAAACCTTTAAAACATAAAAAATACTTTGTTTTTTTTAATTTTATTTTCTTTAACAGTACAATATTGTCTTTGTTGTACACATTTACAAATAGAGAAGTTATCAAAGCCAGAAAAGGTGATTGACGCGAAATTCCTGACTCCAGAAAAAGACTAATTTTATATACTATATATTTTTTAAACTTTCAACAAAGAAAAGATAAAACTATTTTATAAAAATAATATAAAACACTGCTTCAAAGCTTGTATTCCTAGTCTAACAGTATATTTTCCACTATGTGTTTTGCATTTAGCTAAACTATAAAATAAATATTTGTACAATTGACCTAATAGTGCTAAAGTCACTTTTATGATACTAAATTAAGCAAATTCCCCAGCTTGGGCAAAACTACGTCAGGGAGAGGCTCTTTTTGCTCACTTCGAATCTTTTCTAAGTCTTTCGTAGAAGTGACACCAGTCAAAACTAGAAGTGTCTGGAAACCACAGCGAACGCCAAATTCAATATCTGTATTACACCTGTAAATCAATTAATGGCAACATTATTATTTCAAAATACTACATGTTCTACTGCTTTTGTATTAAAATGACGGTGGAATAGTAAAAATATATTTCCTTGGCTAATAGAAACAAATTAAACTGTACACACCTATCACCAATCATCAAAGTCCTTGCTGGATCAAGCCCAAATGACTCCAGGAACTTTCTTACATAGTCATTTGGTTTGCCTAAAACCAGAGCTTTTCTTTCTGAGCATGTTTCAACTGCTCTTACTAAAGTGCCAGTGCCAGGAACAATGATAGTAGATGATTTAGGAAACCGTTCATCAGTATTTGTTGCTACAAATAGGCATTCATCATTAGCTAGATATGATGCAGCCTTCATAAATTTAGGATAGCTCACATGCTCATCAAATCCCACCACTACTGCACCAACCTCTGGATCTAAGTCTGACTGCGTCATAGACTTGAAATCTGCCTTTACTTGGTCTGGCTGAAAATAAGAGACTTCTTTAAAAAATAACATATAATGCTGCACTTCCATGGAACACAAAATAACCATGGATCCAAACAAAACTAAAATTGTGGCCTCTACAAAAGCGGACACTTGGAACAGGATCAGAAGCTGATAAACTATCTACTGGCAGTAAACAACTTTTGCAGATACAGTTTTTCAGTAATATTATAACAACATTCTTACCCCAATTCCTATATGCCTAATGCCCACAGCTTTCAATTCATCACCAACACCATTGGAACCAATTAGATACACTTTTTTCTTAAATCCAATACCCTTCAAATAATGAGCCACTAAATAAGCTGTTGATAAAATTTCTTCCTGAAAAAAGTTAATTAATAAGATGATTAGATTATTGAAAACTTTCAGAAACAATGCAAAAACTACCTACCGGTTCAGCAATGAAGCCTAATTCTTGCGCTTTAAGAGCAAAATCTGCTCGTACTTTCGTTGAATTATTGGTAACATAGAATACTCTCTTTCCCAATTTTCTAAAATAATTTATAACATCAGCTGATCCAGGTATAGCATTATTATTAATCCATAGTACTCCTGTAATAAAAATGGTGCCAAATGTAAAAAAGAATCAATCTGTATTAAAATACAAAATGTTATAAACATAACTTTTTTTTAATTTACCGTCACAATCTGACAAGACTGTATCAAAAGAATTTAGGAACTCTTGTACTTGTTCCTTCGATGATTCTTCCAGATTGTGCACTGCTGATTTAAACATTTTATTTGAGCTCGTTTGCTCCACGTCTTCTATACGCTTATTCCCACAGTATAACCTTCTAGTAACATAAGTAGGATAACGATAAAAAGAATATGGCTTAAGCTGACTCAACATGCATATCATAATAATAAGTTTTTAAGCGAAACTTATAAAGCGTAATTTTAAATCAAAATCTTCTCCTACCGTAATTTTAATAATAAATGTTTATATATATATTAATATGATAGCAGGTTATTAATATTTTTGTAAAACTATGAAATATAAATTAGATGACCTTGAACCATCATCTTCGTTTTAAACCACAGATTTTTTTTCCTTCTCGCTCCACAGATTTAATAAGGGTAACGAGGGGTCCACGATAAAAGACAATTTGAGCTACAGATATCATATATACAAACTCCACAGAAATGTTATGATCACGAGCAACACGTAAGAAATATGAAGCTGCATAATTTTAATAAAGACTCTAGTCTTTAAATAAAATCTTTAAAATGTAATTAAACTTGGAAATGGTAATAAATAATTTATAAACTGTATAGTCAGATTGCACACAAGGTATAAAGTTCTCTACTCTCTAACCATAGTCTATACCGCCGTTTGGCGTTTAGTCCGTTTGTCATTTAACATTTTCATGAAAATATGTTCTTTTAGATTTTTAGAATTTAAACTTTAAAGAGTTAAGAGACAATACCTAAAGCAGTCAAACTATGCAAAGGATATCTAGTCCTGTGACTATGTTTATTGTTGAGTATGACAATATACTATGTTGGTGTGCCTGGAAATCGACTTATAAAATATCTACAATGAGTACCTAATTCCGTTTCTGTTATCTCCTGCGCGAGAGTCGAGACTCATACGAATGTCAATTGTCGAATCTTCAATCTTGTCAAATGCCAACACACGCTTGTTAAAAGATAACAGTAGCGACAAAACGTTTATAATTAATTATTGATTGTGAAATGTTAAAGGACAAACCGATCAACCAGTTATTCTAATTTGTGATTTATTATATTAAAAGACGAATATATTTGTGTGTAAACATTAAAATGGGTACTTTAATTGTTACTAGGAAAAACGATATTAAAGTTATTAAATTTAATAAACCGAAGAAGAAAAACGCAATCGATTATTATATGTATATGAAAGTGAAAAAGGAATTAGACAGTGCCGCTGCCGATGAAAGTATTTCAATGGTGGTTCTAAGCGGCACAGGAGATTTTTACTGCAGTGGTAATGAACTTGGAAACAATTTAGAAATAGATCAAGAATTACTTTTTGAATCAGTTAAAAATTTTATAAAGGCGATAATATTGTTTCCAAAATTATTGGTTGCTGTTGTAAATGGTCCAGCCGTTGGAATTGCAGCAACAACTTTACCGTTTTGCGACTTCGTTTACGCATCTGAAAAGGTGAATTTTAATTGTATTCAGGATACCGTTGATATAAATCAATATAAAATTTTCTCATGATGCAATGATTTTTCGTCTAAATAATTTAGCGCACCTTGAATTTGAAACTCTATTTGACACTATAGCTATCTCTATATCTGTAAAAAAAAAGATTAAATTTTGCACGACAACTAGGAGATAAGTTTTTTTTTTTTTTTTTTTTTAAATAATCATACAATCAGTCTTTGCGACTATAAGTAGATACGTTGAGAGCTTTTTGACGTGTTAGGCGCTACTCCCAGCGGAGCCTGCCTATTCTTATTTAAACTCAGTCTGTTGGGTTGTCCTGATCAAAAATGCCTCGCCGCTTTTTTAGTCGTCGAGTAGTTTCTGGTATAGTTAGCTGTCCTGCTAGCTGATTGGGGTGCTTTTGAAGTCTTAGTTTGTAGTTATGTGATTGATTGATTGATTGTGTGTGTGATTATTTCCTCTTTTACCATGGGCATATTAAGAAATTCATGGACTTCTGTAGTTTTGAGAAACCATGGGGTGTTTGATATTTGCTTGAGTATGTAATTTTGAGCTCTTTGTATTATTATTATATTTGAGGCACTAGCAGATCCCCAAAGCTGTATTCCGTATGTCCATATGGGTTTGAGAATGGTTTTGTACAAGAGCAACTTATTGTCAGTGGATAGTTTTGAATTTCGTCCCATTAGCCAGTAGAGACCCTTGTATTTGTGGTTAATTTCGTCTCGCTTTGTTTGAATATGTTTTTTCCAGGTGAGTCTGCGGTCTAAATGCATTCCTAAATATTTGACTGTGTTTTGATGTGGTAATTGGGTGCCATTTAGAGTGACAGGGGGGCAGTCTTCCTTTCGGAGCGTGAAAGTGACGTGCACCGATTTGGACACACTAACTGCAATTCTCCATTTGGCCAACCAGTCTTCTACCTTATTTAAGCCATTTTGTAGAATTTTAGAGGCTAGAATGGGACTTCTGTTGGAGGTAAGTAGAGCCGTGTCATCAGCGAAGGTGGCGATAGTAATCTCTGGGCTCTGTGGTAGGTCGTATGTATACAAGGTGTACAGGACGGGTCCGAGGACTGAGCCCTGTGGCACACCTGCGCAAATTTCGTAAAAACCGGATGTGCTGGCACCTTCTTTAACTTGGAATAGTCTGTTAGACAGGTACGATTGTAGAATCCTATAGAATGTGTGTGGCAATAAGGATTTTATTTTAAACAAAAGACCCTTATGCCACACTTTGTCAAAGGCTTGTTGTACGTCTAGAAATGCAGATGAGCAGTATTCTCTCCTCTCGAGGGAGTTTCTTATTTTTCTACATACTCTGTGGACTTGTTCTGTTGTTGCATGTTCTTGCCTAAAGCCAAACTGATGGTCTGGTATGATATGCTTTTCTTTTATTATGTCCAGCATTCTGTGTAGTAGCGATTTTTCAAATAATTTGGACATTATAGGCAGCAGACTAATGGGTCTATATGAAGTTATTTCGTGAATCGGTTTTCCAGGTTTGTGGATCATAGTGACTTGTGATACCTTCCATAAGTCTGGGTAGTACCCAGCTCTTAGGATTGCATTAAACAGCATTGTAAGGTACACTATCACTTTGCGTGGTGATTCTTCGAGGACCTTTTTGTCTATTAAGTCATAGCCCGGCGCTTTATTATTGTCCATAGATTTGATATTGCGATTAATTTCCCTTGGTCTCACTAGTTTTAATGGTAGATCAAGTTGCAGGTCTTGGTCAATGATTAGTTCGATATCCGATTCATCTACATTAGGCCTGGGGTCATTCGGTTTGAATACATGACTGAGATGATTGGCAAAAACTTCAGCTTTTTCTCGTTCCGTTCTAATCCACTGCCCGTTCTGCGTTCGTAGTGGTGGCTTTTGGTGTAGTGGTCGAGCTAGGTTTTTGCAGGCTCTCCAGAGCGAGTAATCGGTTGCTTTTGTTGATGTCAATCCTTCCAGGTGTTTACTCAAGGCTGCTTCGTTAGCTTCGGATATTAGGGATTTTAAATCACGTATCGCTTTATTAAGCGCCGTTTTGTCATATGTCAGTCTACTAGTGTGCCATATTCGACGAAGCCTTCGTTTTTCTAATATTTTTTGTCGTATGGTGTTCGAGTAGGTCTTACTCTGTGGCAGACGAGCAGTGATTTCGGGCGTGGACATCCAGCAGCTTTCTTGGATCACTTCGGTTAGTAAGCGAGTTGCGTGATCAATGTCTGCTTCACTTTTTAAGGCAATTTTTAGGTCTAGTCTGTCATGGACCAGTTCTCGATATGAGTTCCAATCAGTTCGTTTATTGTACAATTTAAGGCTGTGTTCTTTGCTCAAGGCAGTTATTCCAATAGTCAATATAACTGGAACATGGTTTGTACTCGAGTCTAAACAAGTTTGTATTTGGTAAGAAAGTCTAGACAGGCCTTTCATGACGAAAAAGTCTATGACGTCCGGAAGCCTGTTTGAGTCAGTCGGCCAGTTGGTCGGGTCCGTCGTTGAAATCACTGTCAGATTGTTGTTATCTATACTTTTCTTAAGCTCTCTGCCTCTTGTTGTCGTTAGCCTAGAGGCCCAATGAACATGCTTGGCATTCCAATCACCTCCTGCTATGAATCGCTGCCCCAGTGATATAAAAAGCTCTTCAAAATGTTCTTCTTTTATAGTGTGCTTGGGGGGGCAATAGATGGCGGATACATTAAACATACCGTTTCTATCTATAACTGCAACCGTTGTAGCTTGTATGTAGGGTTTCTGAAACTGTGGTTGTTCATAATGTTTGATGTTTGATCTTATAATTATAGCTGCTCCTGCATGTGCAGTTCCGTCGGGATGGTTTGTAGCATAAATATTAAAATTACGTAATGTGACTCTGTTATTTTCTGTAAGGTGATATTCAGACACTAATAATATGTCTATGTTGTGTGTGTGTAGTAGTACTTCTACTTCTTCTAGATTAGGCAATAGCCCATCTGGGTTCCAGGTAGCTATCTTTAGGGAAGTCATTTGGACATTTTCGTGACTAATGTTGTAATTAAATTGATTAAAGTGCTCATTTGTTGTAAGATATGATCAAACTTTTCAGCTTGTTTGACTAACATTTCTTCAATTGTAGGTTTTGGTGTATTATAAGTATTCTGGTTAGATCCTATCACATCGGCGTAGCTTGATCGATAATTTCCGTGGTTAGGTATTTCTTTGTTCCTAGATAAGTGTTGTGGTTGTGATAGTGACTGGGAGTTTTTGTCACCAATAGGTTTATTATTTTCTAACTGTGGTAGTGTGTTCATCTCAGGTGCCATCTGTTTAGAGCTGCGTTGTCGTTCCGGATTATTATTATTTATCCTTGATGCGCGGGTATACTGCCTTTTAGATTTTCTCGATAGGATTTCTACATATACTTCACAGCCTTTAAAGTTCGCTGGATGGGCACCGAGGCACAAGGCGCATTTTGCTGGAGTACTTCGATCAGGCTTTGGACAGTCTGCTGTTCTATGTGCTTGCGCGCATTTCACGCAGCGATAGGGCCTCATACAGTAATTTTTAGAGTGACCATATTGCTGACATCTTTGGCATTGGACTATGGAGTTCCTTTTACGTGGTTCCTCTATAACGACCGATTGGTGGTTTATGTACTTTATACCTTTTATCTCTTTGTTGCTCGGACTTTGTTCTAGGGTTGCAAAAAATGTAGATGTAGGTTTCTTTTCAGGTCCATACTTTGCATTTATTATTTCTCCTATCACTACGTTTCCCGTGTCTTCCAGTGCTTCTTTTATTTTAAGGATAGGAGTTGAATAATGTAGGTTTTTGATAACCACTCTATACGGTTTTTTGTCTTTCCTGTTAAATGTATGTCCGATCAGTCTTTTTTCACGGATAAGGTCTATTATGTTTTTGTAAACCTCCACGTTGGCGCAATTTATGCGCAGCTGGTTTTGGTTTATTATTTTGTAGACGAAGTCGGTTTTGTTTACGGCACACTCCAGGAGTTCGGTAAGTTTGGCTAGGTCTTCAATACCATATAGGATTATAGGCGGAGGTTTAGATATCTTTTTAGTTTGTTCTACATCATTATTTGCTTCCTGATCTACTGGAAGGGCGCTGAATTGATTGGAAACTGGTATCCTATCTGGAGATGGTGAGGAAACTTTTTTCCTTTTGGCGTTCCTTAGTGTCGGTGCTCTCTGCCAGTTAGGAGGATTCTGTTTGTTTATGTAAATGTCTTTAGAATTTGTCTGCACTCTATTCAATAGAGCTGTCGGGCTTTGGATGTTAACATCTGCTACTGAACTTAGAGATGAGCTTCTTGGTCGAGCCAGAAATAGGCTAGGATGAAAGGCTTGCTGAACTAGCTTTTTATCCTTCACATTAGGACCAGTAGCATTAACTGGTAAGGGGGCCTGGGTTCCCACCCTCTTACAGGTTTCTTCTGCGAGTGTATCTTTGTTTAGCAAAACTTTGTCCCCCCCAGAATACGTGGGACAGCCTGAGCAAGGCTCAGAGAGGGATTCTCCGGCTACACCGGTACCCTCCTGGGGTATACTGTTTTTAGGTTTTGCTTACATTTTTTTTTTTGTGATTTTCTGTCAGGGTTGTCTTCCCTTAGTCAGTTGGTTCGGTTAAGGCGCCGAAGACTCGCCTTCGTTCTTCATACTTTGCTACTGCGATCTCGAGGTATTTGCGAATGGAGCTCGTAGCAGATCACAGCATTGCCCGGAGGAGACGGCCCACAAGGTAGAACTAGTGTGGGCCCATCTATGTACCACTGCGATAGTACAGAGATGGCGTGGACGTGTATGAAGAACTTTCGGTGCGCGCCTGATAGCCTAGCTCCATTGCCTAGGCGTGCGCTTCGGTATGCTTAGCTTTTTATAGGAGCATATTCCCTGACATAGATTATGCCCCACTAAGACCAACACCGACCCCCCCCAAAGATAAGTTAATTAAAACAAGACAAGAGACGTTAAAGAATGTTGAAGGTGAACATCTTGTCGAGATCTTGACAATTTATTTCGATTTGTTGACAGGTACATTGTAAACTCCATATAATAATAATAAATAGATTGCAAAACTCCTTGAACAGAGTGACGTTCACTGCTGGTGAGCTAAGTGCTAACTTTTGCACAAGCAATAGCGATAATACCGCTTACGCCCAACGCTCTCATTTCTCGCTCTCGATCCTCGACAAATCCACTGCAACTCAGCTACCCAAATACTGTGTCAGTCGTTGATACAGAAGTTGAAGATACGAGGATATATAACCCACCCTGTCTTACGCCACGGCCCCAACCATATATCTCGGATTCGACATTACTTCATATAACACAATTATCCTGGTTAAAGTTCCGATAATCAAACATTTACTTCGGAACATCAGTTATTTTCTTTGCATTAAGCCAGAGTTTTAGTCTCTGTGCTTGTTACAAGCTTTTGATAAGTCCAGAAAGGATGTAAATAGAGACGTTCTTATGTTAGATCCGAACACAAGACAATACAAGGTCAAAGGTTCTTGATAATAATCGTTGTTTTGCAGGCCTATTTTTACACACCGTTCACCAAACTGGGTCTTGTGGCTGAAGCATGTTCAACAATTAATTTTCCTCGAGTGATGGGAGACCGATTGGTAAAAGATCTTATTTACTGCTATATATATGTTTCTATGTTTATTAGTCGTTAACCAAAATCACATATTTCAGAGTAAACAACAATATTCAGTATCACTTAGTGTCCGATTAATCTGTTGATCCTTTTTCTTCCCAGTTCTATAATAATCACTTTACTTTTCGCGCTAATACCTGAACTGTTAGACATCGATATCGGACCATATGGCACATCTTATTCTTTAAAAAACGGCATTAGGCCACAAAAGCGACCTCAATGGAGGCGGTTAATTAGGTTATCACTGACTTATATCAAAGTGATAGTATAGATGTAGACGAATGATCTATTTAGGCCTTCCTTTTTTATTCAAAGCAGGTATTTTTCTTATATACTATTCTGGGAACAGTTCAAGTAGAGGTAAAGAGATTAGGTACGCCATTTACGTTTTTGACAATTTGACAGGTAGGTATTTGAAGTTGGTTTAATTTATTTCAATTAATGTTTGTAGGCCACAAAAATGTTGATGTTAAACTACAAAATGCCAGCTCAAGAAGCTTTGAAGTGCGGTTTAGTGACCGAGGTCTACAAACGAGAAGAACTTGAAAGTAAAGCCTGGGAAAATATTGAAAATATATTAAGCTTACCTCTGGATTCGCTCCTTACTACCAAGAAATTAGTTCGACGACCATTACTACAACAATATCTTGAAACCAACGAAATTGAAATGCAGGAAGTTAAACGTCTAGTGCAAAGTAAATTGTAAATTGTTGAAAGTATTTTGCTGTTATTGACATATTTTATATTACTTTTAATACCCTAGGACTTATGTTTTTCAATAAATTATATATTTTAAAGAAATGTTTTTAATCTAATACAAAGTTTTTTTTTTGTAATTATACGTACCTATAATTCATATGTGCTAAGAATTATATTTTTACACGCGGTAAACAAATGAGAATCTATAATTTCCGCGACCAACTTGATTTTACTAAACATTAATGTTTAGACTAAAAGATGAATTCGAGGACTTCAAGTTTGTCATCTATTTCTGATTTATTTCGGCCAAATAACCCAAAAGGACTTCGCTCCAGAGATCTAAGTTGTACCCGTTTAAATATTTTGAAAAAAGAAATACAAACCGACACGCATCTAATACCACTCAGTGAGTAAACAGTCAGGCATTGGAAACCTGTTCAAAGTCATAAAACCCTATAGATTGTGGTACCTACCTCTAAATTTCTAAATATAAAGTTAACAAATTTTATACGATTCACTAATTTACAGAAGATTTGTACGCACTTCTGGGCACTGATCCAGTAACAGGCCTATCAAGCGACAGAGCAAAAGAGTTACTCGAGTATTATGGGTCTAACACATTAACACCAGCAACTCAACATTGTTGGGCTCGCTTATTATTAAAGTCATTGTGCACAGGTAAACACAAATCCTACGAATATTTTTATACATCCTATCGCTACAGTGTGATGCATGTAGGCACGCATGTGCGTGGCCATCCTGTAAAAAAGTATTAAATAAATCGGCTTTCAGGGTTTTCAATTTTAATTTGGCTCGGCGCAATATTATGTCTCACGGCATATTTAATCGAGATGTTTACGAAACCTCATCCAAGTACAGATAATCTATATTTGGGTTGTGTCCTTATTGCCGTCGATGTTATTTGCGGGCTATTTAGCTTTTTACAGAATTACAAAAGTTCTAAGGTAATTATGATTTACCAATATCTATACATATATAACGTAAGTATGACATATTTACCTTAACCAAGACTAACATTTACGTATACGTTAAATAAATTATCATTATAAAACATTGTTAGCTTAGTGTTAGCCTAGAAGACATACCACTAACAATGGCAGAAATTGTGCTAAATATTCAATGCCTACCATTTTGTGATACCAGATAATGAAGACCTTTAATAGTATGATACCAATTACATCAAGCTGTGTTCGAGACGGCCTTACAAACACAGAGACTCCAGTGTCTAATTTAGTCAAAGGGGACATAGTTTACATAAGAGCTGGTGACGTAATACCTGCAGATTTGAGAATAATTGACAGCAAAGGGTTTAAAGTACGTAGTAAGCCTTAATTATTGATAAACGTAAGTGTTGTGTTATTGCTGATAGTAAAAGCATTAAGCACTCGGCTGATTGCAATTGTCATGGACTTTTTGTACTTTCCTCGCTATCTTTTCATATATGCCTATTCTTAATAACTTTCATTGCACACGCGCTAAAATGTCTACTAATATATTCTCTAGGTGGACAACTCTTCGCTCACTGGTGAATGCGTAGCTGTGCCTCGGAGTAACACTGATGGTACTCCAAACATAATGGAATCGCAAAATGTAGCTTTCTTTTCTGCACTGTGCGTTGAAGGATGGGCAACTGGTAAAATAAAAAATCTGTTTCTAAATTATCGAACACTATTGATAATATACTGAAAGAAAATATTCATTAATAATTAATATTATTAATAAATTGTTAAGTACGTAGTCGTAGTCTTTCACTATTACATAATTTAATTTTTTTATCTCTCTACGGGTAATTACAAGTACATATAAGCCGAAATTGCCGAATTTCAAGTTCACAACTTACGCTAGGCTACAAAATTATAAATTTGGACTTTATTACTAAATAACGGTTTTACAATTATTATACCTACCGCTTTGTAGTCACAGAAAAAGCTTATTATTTTAACATTTCCTATAATCTTGTACGTAAGGTGAGTGGGGGGAAGATTGAACGGTTTTTGATGAAATGAGCAGAATTGTGTTTGAACCTCTTGTAGAACAATAAATATTTTAACCTTTACTAATGTATGGCTTTGATTAGTAACAAGCAAAAACTATACTTTTCTATCATATCAATAAATCTGTTCCAAAGCAGAGAAAATAAGAAAATAAAAAATAAAGATACGACTACAAAATAGGGTAAAGATGAAAACGTGACGGGGAAAGATTGCTTTTTTTCTAAAATCGTTAAAATTAACGGTTTTAAGTCCATAGCTTTTAGTGACTTGAAAACTCTCATCTGACTTTAGTGAAAAAATACCTTTATTTAACAAAGATACAGCTAATTGTTTGATTTTTATATATCAATCTTAACCCAACGGGGAAACATTGAAACAGACGCTCTCAAACTTTTGCCATCTCAATTTTCCACAAATCTCATTTTTTCTTATTTGTGCAATGTTCAAGCGATTATTTTGCAGAGAAAGTCCATGACGTTACAGAATTTAGTGAAATAATCTGGTCCTGGAAAATCGTCCTTTAATGTGGTAATATAGCGTTCCACGAGAAAAATACTTCTTGTCTAGATAGCTCAAAACCCTATTTTCCCAAAACTTTAAGGCCACTCGCTAATCTTATTTCGATTTCACGAGCAAAGACAGGAGAGTGACCTAATGTTATACTTTTAACGCCGGTTTTTATTTTAAGTAAAAATTTAGATAGATAAGATAGTTAAAATCGAATTTAAATTTTTACTTATCTTTGCATATTCGGTAATGTATACATAATCCCGTGGAAATATCAACTAGGTACGTTGCCAATTTATTTCCTGTTACCAGTTAAAGTTTGAGAATAACTGAATTTTTGTATGACACTTGGGAACGGAGTACGATCGAAACTTTTGTATATTTATCTTACCCCGTCATTTTTTTTTTGGGTAAAGATGGAAAGTTGAGATATTTCCTAAATGACTAGCCGTATTTTGATGTGATTTCGTAACTATGAATAAAAAACTATAGTTAAATATTCCCATGAAACAGTCGTACCTATCTTGTACTTAAAGTTACAGTATACGGGGTGAGATTAAATCACTTGAAAATTTTAGAAACTGGCGGTTTTAATAAAAATACCAGCACTCAAAAAAATACGTAAAAATTAGTGTTTAAATAGACGATTTATTGTCTTACCCCATTTTTCATCTTGCCTCCTACAATGGGTTTTTTTTCGACCATTGACCTTTATTATTATGTTAAAATATGTATGAGTACGTTAAAATGTTCCCTAGTAGTATAATGACTCTACCATGAGTTTCACAAGTATGAAACGTTAAGGTACAAAAATATTAGTCAACGTATATGGCATATATCAAAATTATCATACGAATATTTGACATGATGAACGAGAATTTTATCAATTACAACCTTACACAATTAAATTACGTACCGTGTTCTTTAAAAGAAAAAAAATGCTATCTTTAATTATTTATTATATGTTTTTGATTTTTGTTATTTTGTGTGTTTTGTTTGTAATAAATATTATGTCTTTCATTTTATTATTTGATAAACTCGATATAGAGCGAGAGGTTGGCTGAAAAGGTTGTAGATTGGCACATAGATGGCGCTACTAGTTTTAAATTATTATGATTTTTAGTTAGCCCTAACCTTCAAAAGACACGTGTATAAATTTCCAACTGCCGTACTATTAGTTTGTCAGATATAGTATTTTGAGTGAAAGCACTTTGGTTTGTTTAAAGAAATGGAAAAAAAGGAGTTTCGCGTGGAAAAGCATTGCTTTTTGGCGAAAAAAATACGCTTCGGCTTGATAAATATTATTCGGACTCTGCACCAAGAAAAACCGATGAGAAGTGGTTATACGAGGCTAAATGAGCACTTGTTAACCTAATATAAAAAGCGACCCTTGCTCGGATAAAGAAGTTCTTGAGTTCCCAGTTGAAAATGGAATATAGTCTCATTCTCAAATACACATATAATATTAAATTGCTACATACATTAGCTTTGATTCACGTATCTAGGGAGGATTTGTCGTGGTGCAGTAGGCAAAAACCAAAAGCTTGCTGATTAAAAGGATTGACGCATAGGTTTTGTCAGTTTTCTTGTATGCCCTTGATTTAAGAAATGGCAGTAAATCATAAATTTAGAAGTAATTTTTTTGCAGTTCATGAGTGTACAATGCGTTTCCTATAATATTAATAAATCAAATTTGATTTAAGAGTATAATTATACATTAGGGTGTTAAATTAAAACGTGACCGAAAACACGTTTACTGCTGTAGGTACAATGTGTATCAACCTTATTTTAAAACCAAGGTTTCATACATATTTTTAAAAACTTAACCTATGTAATTTTTTAAATTCACAGGCGTTGTGATATGCTGCGGAGATTTAACTGCTTTGGGTCGTATAGCTGGTTTAGCTGCAAGACTCCGACCAGTGCCATCACCACTATCGCGGGAAATTCATCAGCTAATGAGATACATGTCTGCTTGGGCTGTTGGTCTTGGTCTCTTCATTGCGAGTGCTTCACTAGGCTTGGGATATCCATTTATGCAAACAACCATTTTTGTAATTGGCATCGTGGTGGCTAATATTCCCGAAGGTTCGGAATTGCACTGTCTCTAATTTTAAAGCAATAGTATATTATATCTTTAATAAGACTGAATAGTTAATAATTTAATGCAAAGTTAGCAGATTAGGTCAAAACAATCGTTAGACTTTAAACCCGGATATATAAAACGTCGTCAGCACATAATATACGGTCGTTCATTGCATTAAATAATTGCTTTCCAAAAACATTTATGTTTTCATATGTTGTCTCATCTCCTAGATTCAGTACCTAGTGTAGGTCCAGATCACAGGTAGATGAACTCTTTAATTGGTGCCTAAATTAATGCTATGTTCGTAGGTTTACAGCCAACAGTAACAGCATCACTAACATTAACAGCCAAACATATGGTAACAAAAAATTGCCTTGTAAAAAATCTAGAGGCTATGGAAGCTCTTGGTGCCTGCACGACAATATGTTCTGATAAAACTGGAACACTAACTGAAAACAAGATGCGCGTACGACATCTGTGGCTTGAAAATCAAACTTACGAAGTTTCCAATACTAGTTTGGGTTAGAGATTGGTAAAACTGTCTGTTTTATTTATAAATATTTATTAATGCGATTTTGACTTTTCAGATCAATTGAAAAATAACAAAGGTGCGACCGTAACTATTCATTTAGTGAACTTAATGTAATTTGTTTTTAGACGTACAGATTATTGATATTTTTTAGCATTTCAAAGTTTTAAAATTTGCGGCGCATTATGCAGTAATGCTTCTATAGCCCCTGATGGCAATGTGCATGGAGATGCATCAGAGAAAGCTATACTAAACTTTATATTTGAATGCGATAATCCAATAACGGTTAGAAAAAGGTATCCCAAAGTATCAGAAATACCTTTCAACTCTGTCAACAAGTATCAAGTATGATTGATTTAAATTATTACACTAAATTTTTCATAGAATTGTAGAATCTGTCAATGTAAAATCGACCGACGAAAATATATTAAAACAACATAACACATAAGACTTGACTAGATTTACCTATTTCATTGATATTTAAGCTGATAATAAATGATTTACAATGATTGTGTTTCCCAGTTAATTCCCTGTTAAGTGTACGACGTAAATATATATTTTTTTAATTTTAATTTTTGGTAATATTTTCAAATATGCCCTATTTTTAGGTTAGTATTCATTTGGATATGCTAAATTCGAAACATATTCTTGTAATGAAAGGCGCCCCCGAAGTAGTATTAGATCGTAGTGCAACTGTCGCTATGGATAATACGGAGGCCATTAACAATAAAGAAATTAATGAGTTGATCAACAACGCTATTGAAAACATGGCTAATACTGGTGGGTTATCATTTGTGTAAATAATATATTTGCGTTGTGTACATCCCAAAGGCAACTGTCAATATCGGTACGTACTCATCTAATGGACAAAAGATTTTATACATATATGTACATGAACTTAAATTGCATTGACAATTAAAAATAATAATATCTACGAACTTAAATTTTTAGGTGAACGAATTTTAGCATTTGCCGATCTCAATTTAGACGTAAATGAATATCCTCCAGGATTCGAATTTGATGCTGAAGAAATTAACTTCCCAATTGAAAACTTACGATTTTTAGGTTTGGTCGGACTGATCGACCCTCCACGAAAGGAGGTAATGATCTAATTTTCCTCTTATTGATTAATTAAACCAAATACGGTGCCTGAAGCTTAATTTTAAATCCATAAGCCCTATCAATTCAAGCCCGTATTTTTAATTTAGTGTCAAACAGAAACATCAAAAACTTTCGCTTTTTTATAGAACAGCAAACTGTAAACGGGTAGGAGCCTCACATGATGTTAAATTATAGTCGCTCATAGAGTGCTTAAAGGCTTTTAAGACTTAGTGTTCTTGTGGTATAATTCTAAAATTTGAATAGTATCTCAAATCATACATAGCCTAAATTTAATTAACTTTTTTTTCAGGTGCGTTCAGCTATAGAGAGAGTTCGTGCTGCTGGCGTAAGAGTAATGATGGTGACTGGTGATCACCCAGCGACAGCTCGCGCAGTAGCATTGGAAGTGGGCATCGCTACCACACCTCAGTGTCATGTTATCACCGGCACTGAACTGCGTAATATGACATCTGATTTGCTGTATTTAACTTTGGAAAAGAATTACGAAATAGGTTTGTGTTTACTATAACACCCGGTTTTGGTGGTTCTGAATAGATTTTTATTCGGTTTTTAGAAATTAATATAGATGGTAACTATTGTAGTATTCGCCCGCACATCACCGACACAAAAACTTCAAATAGTAGAGGCATGTCAAAGACAAGGCAGCGTGGTGGCTGTGACTGGAGACGGGGTAAATGATGCGCCCGCTCTGCGTAGAGCTGATATCGGTATATCTATGGGAATTACTGGATCACAGGCTAGTAACCATGTTTTTTAGGTTTAGACCAGTGTTATAATTTGTTTTTATGTTTGCATTCCAGTAACCTCTCAGAAATATGCTTTCTTACGTCTGTTTCATTATTAATCTAAACAATCATTGTCTCCAAACCAAGGCAATTATTGTTTAGCCAGAAACCCCATATATATTATACATATAACATAGACATTGTTAATTCGTGTTAACCGCTTAGCTATGGAGGTTGGGTTATCTTTCATCGGAAGGTAGATAGTAAAATTTGTTGAATGAAATCACCAAACTATCTAGGGAGTCACATATTTAACAGTAAACCTTTGTTTAAAAATTACCGTTTATTGTTTTCTGGTGTGTTTGAATTGTAAATAAATAAATATATAATATGTAATCCTTATTTAGCTTCTATAATAAACAGGTGTCCAAACAAACAGCAGATATCATTTTAATGGATGACAACTTTGCGACGATCGTGACGGGCATTGAGGAGGGCCGAAAGATATTTGACAATCTAAAGAAGTCAATTTGTTACATTCTTATATCTAACGTCCCTGAGATAATTCCAGTGTTAATGTTCATTTTGTTCTCTATTCCTCTACCATTAGGTAATATTTCTTATAAATAATACGGCAAATGACTTTATCTAATATTTAATTTATCACAACAAATTATTAATTTGTAACGGGATAAATGGAATAATTAGAACATATAACTTTATTTTCTCTGGTGCGTATTTAAAAGTGCTGCAAAAAAAATGTTTATCACAGTCGGTTCTGTGATTATTGCATCAAGACCCAACAAAGTTTTAGCATTTATATTATGTTAGAATATCAACTGTCAAATAAAAAAAAACAACCATTTAATTCTCCTTGAAATCTTCTGAGGTCTTATGTTTTAGGTGTAATGACTATCCTATGTATCGATCTTGGGACTGATATGTGGCCAGCGGTGTCATTGGCACATGAGAATGCCGAACGGGATGTAATGGCACGGCCTCCAAGACGATCTGACCCACTCGTCTCTTGTTCAATGATAAGATTGGTCTATGGCCATTTAGGTCTCATCGAATTTGCAGCTGGCATGTTTGCATACTTCATTGTTATGGCAGAACATGGCTTTTATCCGGAGCAGCTGTTTGGTAAGGATCAATAGAACATGAATATTCTTTTGGTCAAAGGTTTGGACAAATCTAATACAGAGCTCTCGCTTTAAAATAAGGTATACGCCAAAGATGGGATAATGAGGCAGTAAGTGATGTCCAAGATTCGCTGGGACAGGAGTGGACCTACGCCGAACGCAAGGAACTAGAACGAGCTTGTCAGGCCGCGTACTTTGTGGCTATCGTCATGACTCAAATAACGAATGGAATAATTTGCAAGACAAGATATAATTCACTCTTTCATGTCGGTATGTATACCGCCTGATACTGCATAGTGCATATCGTATCTATAGTACAAATGACAAAGGTTAGTAGATTGTTTGCTCAATTTATCAGTTAGTGTACCTACTGGTTTACATACTGATTAGGCTTAAAAAGATTCAAAAGTGCGATAGTGATTAAACAGGGTCAAACTACTTATTTTAGTAAAGAATATATATATATATGACATTCATACATAGTTAAAAAGAATATCATCTGTCAGAGCCGCCATAAAAGCCAGGGGCTTGAGACACTTCCTCTTTGTAACAGGCGTGACACACGAACGCTAAACGAATTTGTATAGGAATGACAATATCTCACGTGACCATTACCGAAAAGTGACTTTCAAGCCCAAGGTCAGGAAATTTAAATGACATAGAAACTTTTTCTTTACTTTGTAGGTACGGGTCATATAAGTTTCTAGATATTTATAGATTTTAACTTTACAGGTATGAAAAATAAAGCTCTCAACTTTGGTTTAGTGTTCGAGATCATTCTTGCGTGTGTTGTATGTTATGTGCCAGGAATTAACAGTTTCTTTAGAACATACCCACTAAGGTTGAAATGGTATGCAGGATTGATCATTTATAAGTATAGTATAGTCTTCATCTATTAAGTATTAACTAGTCTTAAACGAGTAGGAATCACGTCTTTCACAAGCAGTGTTGGTCTCTAATCCCCGAGGTTGTAAGATCGAACCCCGGCTCTGCACTAATGGGCTTTCTATCTAGGTCGCATATGTACACGTACACTCGTACGGTGAAGGAAACCTTGTGAGGAAACCGGCATGTCTTGGACACAAAAAGTCCACGGAGCAGGTACAGAAAGCTGATCACCTATTAGATAAATCAAATTATCACGAAACAGATACACAAATCTGAGGCCAAGACCTAAAAGGTTTTATCGCAGCTGGTTTTTTGTTACGTCTTTCAAGCAAAAACATGATTTTTAATGCCTGCATTAAATAAAATATGTATTGATCCCACTAAGCACATCCAATCTAGATATTATTTAACAGTACAATTATTTGCCTAAACATGTTTCATTTAACCGTTTTATTCAATATGTATTAGTATAAATATTTTCAGGTGGTTTCTCGCATTGCCTTTTACTGCGCTGATGTTCATCTTTGATGAATTTAGAAAATATTGTATCCGCAATGAGAAATTTGGAGGATGGTTTAACAAGCTTACATTATATTAGTTTAATTGTAATTAATTACACTTGCCTTTAGTTATAATCTTATTACATTGTTTTAACTAAATTGATTTTACTCTTCTTCAGTGGAATTGTAATTATTTCATCAAGAGACATCAGTGTATTAGATATTTTTTGAAGTTATACTTCTTTTGGCGCGTTATGAAAAATTTATGAGAGTGAAATTTTACGATGCGCGCGCACCGTGACACAAAATTATCAGTATGGGCGTCGAGCGTGCGCGAGCGAGATGGGAATAAGGCAATCTACATGTAAAAAGAAATAGAATATGCGTGACGTTAGCAGCTATGCCAAGAATGACCATAATAACATTTGTAGTACCTTTTAAACAAATAAAGGAGGAAATAAATTTTAATTATTTTTTCAAAGGAATTTAGCAATGCCTTTTCACACAGACCTATTGTTACTTAGTTAAAAGGTTATGAAACATACCTAGTTATTAAATTGAATTAATAATATAATAAAATAATAAATAATATATAATAATTAATTATTATATTAAATATCAAATATTGTTAAATTATTAACGCTAAATATTTATTATTAATTATTTAATATTTAAAAAAAATAAAGAAAGCCAAAGAAGTATAACTTCTTACGCGCGTACATAAGTACACGCACCATTTTTTTTTTATGAATAAGAGGGAGAGTATTTATTGATCTGTCATTCAGTCATAAAAACAAAATTTGATAAAAAAATTTAATCTTTGACAATACATATATAATTTTTAACATTTCCCTAAATAATTTTAATAAATCAAACTTAACATTATAATAACATAAAATGAGCAATCAAATGGAACTTATTATATTACACACATAACTCTATAAAATATTAATGTTCACATATTTTCTAATAATCTATGCAAATGGATATTTAAGGCACGGGCTAATTTAGAAATTGGTTTCTTAACCTTAAGTACGTGCATTAATTAAATTAATATTAATTTGTGTTTATAGACTAGTAGAATAAGTATGGTCACAATTAAAGACCTTAAACGGAATAAGTACTTAAAATTCAATATAAAAACAAAAAAGTGATTTTCCTTATTTAAAACTGATATGTGTTTGTGACCTAACAAATTGTTAGGAATGTTAATTTTACAAAGCATGATGGCTTTTTCCCATTTTTACATAGAAAAAATGTACAGCGAAACCAACTTCAGATAAAATTTACAACTACATATTTTAGTATCAAAATAAAGAATAACATTTAATAAATGAAGAAAAAGTATGAAAATTTCCTTTACATATCCTTAATAAATTCACACCTTTAAATATCTACGTACTACATTAAAATTGAGGCAAGTTTGAAATTTTGTCTTTGGACTTAAATCAAGCGAACATTAAGTACTAAACAGTTGGCACATTCGATAACAATTAAAACAGCAGAGATTTGAATCATACAGCATGTCCACGTTTTGTATGGAAAGTGTCATCTCGCTACTACATCTTGTAATCGTTCGGTTTTTGTCATAAAAACACACACGTTCAGTAGTTTTTGGTATGAGAAATAGTGAAAATAATTTAGTCAATATATATATTTTATAGTAATTAGTCGCACTAATTAATATCCTTTTGTGCGTCTAAAATATAGCCAGGACAAATCTATGATTTAAATCTCTATACAACAAAGATCTAATAATTAAACTTGGAGAACACTTGTGTAATCTTCATCACAACTATGGAACTTTGAGAATATTGTGCACAAAAAGTAAATATTTATCAAGCTAAACTCCTGTATTGGTAAATTAAGACTATCACAACCAAGCAACATGGCTGCAACACATTGTATACAGGTGTAACATCACGTCTTCAAACTAAAAATGTCGCAGAAGTAAAAATATTTCTACAAATTAGTTAAATAAAATAATAGATTTATGAGCAGCGCCTATCAAAACTAAAAAAAAAGTCTTTAGTTTTTTACGCTATTACAGTTTAGGTCAGTTGCTAAAGTATATAATTTAAGGAATCTCCGCTGGCTAGATGGCAAAACCCAACACAGGCTGTTTAGTGAGTGAAGCTCAGCTAACAAATATATTTGACAACATGAACGAGGGCGTTTGCTATGAGACTGTTGTCGGCGCATAGTTTGCCTGAATTTGGCCGGACCAAAAATCTGGCAGTGCGAAGCAGGAAATAAGATAACGCAACCTACGCCGGCGAAGGTGGTTTTACTACTGAAAGTCTGAGCTAAGGTTTCAGTTCTGTAAAGCGAACTTACATCTACCATTCTCAATATTGCCAGGAGATACTAATACTCTTAGATATTTTCGGCTTGACTTAGTAATGTTACAATACATAAAAATCAAGTTACTAAACTATATGAACATATAGTGTACATTTAAAGTTATATCAAAAAATCTAGGTAAATAGGGTAGAAATTCTATATTAAATATTTATTAAGGTGTATATAAGAACTACCTATATAAAGATATGTGATATAACTTCTATGTTTAAACATGGCACGATTGTTAGAACAACTCTACTTTTTATTAAATATTTAAATTGATTTTTTATGATTACGAAGAATATAATAATGTATTATTAATTACTCAGAGACGCTACAAACAATGGGTCACAGTAAGATATGTTTGTTTATCGAAATTGAACAAATTATTAAAACAAATTAAGTACAAGGCGATTAGGTATGACAAAACTTAACGGTTATAGTTCAAACATCGAAATTTAATAATAAATAAAAATTTATAAAAATAATTGGCAATGCAAAACCATTAATTGTTCTTACAAAGCAGCAAGGCAATAAAAATATTTTTATGTTAAATTACGTAATTATGCAAACCACATCGAATGTATGAGCTTTTTTTATGTCTTAAATTGTAGTACAAATTTTCAACAGTTTGTGTAAATATATTTTGACATTTAAGCACTAGGACTAACAAAATCATGGATTTATTTAAAATAGGATAACATGGTAGGGGAGCCCAAGAGGGGATTTCGGGATTTACTAAAGCGCGGCAGATTAATATACAGGGGGATAGCTTGTACTCGGTTAAGTACCTCCACAAAACATGAGGTCCATATATAAGGCCGCCTGTGAAGGAGACAGGATCAGATTAGTAAAAAAAAATTGACCATCAGAAATTCCCGAGCGCATCAGATTAAGGTAGGGTGAGTTAATTACATCCTAAAAAGTGTATATTCCACTAATCTGACAATTTGAGAGTGACGTAAAGAAAGGGGAGGGCAACAAAGTTGTAAAAAAAAAACGTCATCTCGACATTCTCGAGCGTAGCTAAATTTTTTTTTATTTTGAAGGAAATAATTCAAGAATAATGAAAAATATATAATCTGACGATTTCCGCAAGCCGAAATAACAAAAATTCGTCGATAATAAAGTAAAATGCGTGCAGCTGCTTGATGCCTATATTTCCTTCTCCGCGTTTCTATTTCTCTCTCACTCTTTCTCTATTCAAAATTTGACGGAAACGTTTAGAAATAATAAGTGTCACTTTCATAGCACCAGAAAACTTTACGTTTAAAATATATCAAAAGAATAGTTTTGTATGAAATGAATATTATATATATTAAGACTTATTGGAATCGATGAATTATTTAAAATGATTTTATCTTTTATTTATTTTTATAGAAACATCTGTCGAAGTTTGACAGTTAAATTTCTAAACGTACATAGAAACCTCAAACAAAATTATCGTTTTTTCATTCGGTCTTGCGATGCCGAAAGAAGTACCTAAACTCACCAGCATCTCAACTGGATCGTTTTTAAGAAAGTCCATGGTAGGCCCCCTGGTTTCTGTTGCCATGAAGCCATCACAGCCGATCATAAAGACTGATTTGAAATGTGTATTTTGTAGTGAAAGTACATTACAAAAAACAATTAAATTTACGGTAAAAACATTAAAAAAATGTGTAAATATTTTGGAATATCGTCGGAGCAAGCCGGTTATCCGAAAGTCTCGAGGAACATATGATAACCTCGAATTGTCGATGGAATCATCATTAAATGATTTATATCACGCACAGTGCTATAAATTATTTACTGCAATTAAAATACCGCGAGACTTTCAGTATTTACAAGATCAAATTGTAGTGGAACATGACAATACACCGGAAGTTTCGGGAAATAGCTACGAAACACATGCTCCTGATTCTGGAGAGTGTTCCGAAGCACATGGTACTGTTGATTTCTTGTCTACTGAGGTTGCTGGTACATCGACAGACGAGTAAGTTCTTATATGACTTCATTTATTAAATATTTATAATACTGAAAAAAATAATTTTATAAAATTTTCAGAGTGGGAGAGTCGAGCAACGTTCAGGAAGGCTTTCAGGATTCCAATAATTCATTCAGTACAGATTCAGCATCACAAACGTGCTTCATTTGCCAAAAACAGCGTAAACGGCATCATGGTCGTGAAGTTCGTTTAGCTGTCAATAGATTAAAAACTATTGAGAATTTGAAAAGCGCGGCCACGGAACAATATGATGTACAAATGTTGGAAAAGCTCTGTTCTTTCTCTGATGATACCAAAAATCCCTACCATAAATGTTGCAAGGATCAATATTTACGCGATATTTATAAGAATGATAATAGCGAATTTCTAAGGAAAAAAAAAGTTACCAATACTGCGTATACTATTCTTTGTGAAATGTTAGAAGAAACAGTGGTCAAGAATAGTGAATGTTTGTTTTTTGATTTCGTAAAAAAAGAATATCAAAAATTGTTAGAGCAGCAATGCAGTTTATTATCTAATTCCATCAATATTTCTTCGTTCTCAGACCGTCACTTGGAAAGAAAATTGATGGAAACTTTTGACAATAAGATGAAAATAATTTACGCTGAAAAAAAAAAGTTTCTTGCTCCATTCTCCGCCTCTGTTTTAACTTACACGGATTTATTTAAAACGATGACAGTAAAAGAAACCATCCGTTCGGTTGCAACACAACTTCGTGAAGAAATTCTTAACTCAACCAGAAGAGAATTGCCTGAAAATTGTACAGCT